GCTCATGTTTTATTTTACAATGTTCACCTTGGGAAACTTTTTTAAAGTACGCTCACAGCATTCACCTTCAAGTATTACAGATTTCAAGGCAAAGGTGAAGTTTTCTGATGTTTCTTGTCAAGTTTGAATCCTGAAAGAATATAATTCTCTGGCGCATACCTCTTACAGACATCAACTCTGACAATAAATTTCTGAGGGGAAAAAAGAACGAGAGAATAAAGTAAAACCAACAGCAGAATTTTAGAAGGAAATGTACAGAAAACAGTAAGAAAACAAATATTTTTGAAGAGTTGATTTAGGTATGTTATGATTAAATGTAGTGCTTGCTCTGCTTGCCTGTAGATGAGAATTCTCCTCACATTTTGGTTTTAAGGGATATCAGAGAGACAATCACTGACTTAAGCCAAGGGATATTTTACTGATAGGCACTTAAATAAAAAAAGCAGAAATTATTTAAATGCATTCTACAGTAACAGTTTTATCTATCTACATGGAAAATTCTGTAAAAAACAATGTAATGTTTACCATTTTTTAAATGAGGTTTGTAAAGCAGGTTTTATAATATCCCACACACACCTCCTTTGCTGGTCAAGAATGCACTCTGCATATTTCCCATTAGTTTTACTGTTAGTCTCATTTTAGCTTTGAATATCAGAGGTGCTTCACTTAATTTTCTTTATCTCATTGTTCTGTGTGTAGTTGTATTACTTTGTTATGCTCTGTTACATTTAGGCCTGAAGCCATCTCACCTGAACAGTGAGATGGGGACCAAAGCTGTAGACTTGTCTCTAAAAAGATAATGCAGCCTAACATGCCATTTTTCTAAAGGTATATATAGCAAAAGCAGTGTCCTGTCTTTGTGTCTTATTGCTTGCTGTGAGATTTCTTCACTTGCCCTTGTATTCATTCACTTGTACATACAGTTTATTTTTAGAGTCATATGTCAAATGAAAGTAACTCAATGGAAATAACGTGATTAGATAACAAATATGTTCAGTGTTTAGCCCAGTTGTTTATTCGTTGTTCTCTTTGATAACTTTGGTATTCTCATGGCCCCTATTCTGCTGATTATTCAAGGAGTTTCTTCTCTATTTGTCTGTCATGGTAACTCAGTTATTGTATTGAAGGAATAATATGTTGAACATGGTCTGTTTTTATCAATAATTGTTGCCTGCAACTTAGTCCAGCCTACACTGTACTAGGAATGGTTAAGCAATTGCAACACATGCATCTCTATGTCAGCAGGCCCTGTCAGTTGTTTCCACTGGTGAGAATGCATGTTTGTGTACATAGTTTGTGTTGGCTGTTTTAGGGTCAGGGTTTTTCATTATTGTTGTTCCACAGGAACAATTAGATCTATGTTAAAATTTTAAGTGTTATAAAATGGCTGTAAAAATCAAACCTCTAATTCACATAAAATAGTAGCAAAAAGGGCAGGATAGCCCTCATCAAAGCTGCATGTTCTGTGTGGCAGTAAATAGATGAGGTAATTCGGAATTCAGAATGGTTGAGATATGCTTGATCCTGCTTCTTAGGTAGGAGATATAGATTAGATGGCCTCTAAAAATCCCTTCCTGACCTGGGTTTTGCTAGTCTTTTAACCTGTATGTGGGAATTGTTTGAGGTTGCTTATGCTTTGCTTCTGACTTTATTCTTCCAGGACTTGAAATGTGTCCTTTGTTCTGCTTGGGTCATGATGTCTGCTTCCGAAGAACAAACAGTGATTCTTGCTAGTTTTGCTCCACAATGTAAAATTATCTTCTTCCTTGGGTAGATTCATTTTGTGTATTTGTCAACTTCATATTACATCTTTGATTTCACTGCTGTATAATTTTTTTAATGTTACATTTGCAGTCTTCTCTCCTATCTTTGCTTTCTGAGCAACAGCTGAGATGGTTTCTCCTTTACTTTTTTAGCAGACTTCCTTTTTTTTTTTTTCTTCCTAACAGTATTTATTAGAGAACCTGAGAATACCTTTTGTCTGTTTTATTGATTGTGACTTTTGATACAGGTGGGTATGAATCCACCAACCCTAGGTTTGTGTATCTAGAGATAAACTCTTGAATAGATCTCTCTCTGTTTAGGACTCAAATGAGAGTATTCAAAGTCTAGTTTAAGCACCTAAGTAGAACTGTCCAGCTGACTTTACAAGAGGTCCAGTGGAAAAAGACCCTCTAATGCTCTGAGTGATACTCTAGATAAGGCTTGCATACAGGACAACCCCCTTGAAACTTAGGGCAGTTGAACTTCTTAATTTTAGCATTTACATTATGTGTCAAGTTACCCACTGTGAATTCACTCACCCTTAAAGTAGGATTGAAAAATTGTTTTCTACTTCTCAGTTATTTTCTACTATTTTTTGCATGTTTCTTTCCTTGGAGAAAATTCAGGATTTTAAAAAGATGCATGATCTTATAGGTAAGATGATTGTTTTTTTGTCCACTAGGTTTTACTGCTTTCGCCTTATTCTGAAAATGTCTAAGTTGTGTGCTCTGAATGTCTGACTGTGGGTTATGATATGCCAGATAATTGGCCACCTGTCTTCTGCTGATTACTACTGATACAGTACAGCTGATGAACCAGTGAATGAGTTCAGTGCAAAGGCAGCTGTTACCTTAGTTCACAGTGTTTTACTGTGAAAATCAAGCTGGCTGACTTGTGCCAGACTTGTGCTGGAGCAGATGAGGAGGGCTCCTGTTGTCTTCCCTCTTGGAAGAAATGTTTCCTCAGGAGAGGTAAATTCTGTATGACTTGTTCAAGTGTTTTTCTTGAGCTAGTTTAGTTAGCTGGAAAGAGAACAGCCACACTATGTAATGGAGAGGTTGGAGGGTGATCAGAATATTCGTACTACTCCTAGTAGCGGTACAGGTACTACTCTACTAGTACCATTGAGACTTAGATTGTATGTGTGTCCTTGTCCATCACAACAGTAAAGTAAAATAAGGTGTACTGATAAAATAATAAGCAGAATGTGTTTTTCTTTACTGCTTTTTTGTCAACTTAGTCTGTCTTCAGCATTTCTTATCTAACCTTCATACCCAGCACCAAATCCTTGTAAAAAGGGACATCATCCAAGCTGCAGGCTTGCAGCTCTTAGAAAAATGTGCAGGTGTTTATCTCAGGACTGAAGTCTTTTTTGAGTCTTGTAATTCGTAGAGGTTGTTTAGGTGTAATCTCTTTTCTAGTACTGTGTATTGAAAGACTTGAATAAAGTACTTGTATACAAGAGGTGCAGTTTAAACCACAAGAAATACCTCTCCTTTCATTGATCAGAGTAATTTCAAGTATGAAAGTGCCTCAGTTTTGGCTTTCTGTGGTATCTACTACTGTTGTAGCAGTAGGAATTATACTGAATTTAACTATGTTGCACTAATTAAAAACAATACTTTTTTTTTAATGACTAATTAAAAGTAGTACATTTCTTTAGTGACTTGATGAAAGCTTTACACCTGTTCTGGTTGTCAGAAGTGGAAATGAGATGACTTTTTTGCCAAAAAGTTTATCTGATAGCTTTAGGGAAAGGGGTGCTCCATTTTTCCATTGTTGTTCATTTTACAATCTGCTTGTCTCACATTTGTGAATGGGGTTATAGCACTGTAAAACAGAGGCTGGGTCTATTACATAGAGTAGAAGTCACTGGTGATGGAGAAACAACCCTGATAATGAAAGACTGACTCTATATGGGAGGAGGGAGTGCTGCCTAATGAATCTAATTTCACTGCAATAATCATAAATGTGAATGTTTGAAAACTGTGTTTTCTTTCCATATTTATATAATCCTTCATTTGACAGGTCTGCTCAGTACTGGGGGAGACCTTGGCTGCTTTGCTGTGTGCATGCACTTTCAAAGCCATCTCCTATCCTGTCTCTTTCCCAGCTGTTGGGACTGGAGGGTGTCTCTAGGCAGAGGGTGAGGAAGCGCTTACTGACATCAGGGCTTAAATTTTCCTTTGATGTGTTGCCTGGAGGCCGATGGGGACAGAAAGCTGAGGGCCAGATTGGTTTACATTCTGGCTTCCAGTGATGTTTTAGAAACTGGTTTGGGAGGCAAAGAGAAATAATATTGAATATCTGAAACTGAATTAATTAGGCTTTTGGCAACAGGGTTTGGAAGATGGGGTGAGGGGGTTGGGTAAACCAAGGCTGCTGTAGTGGTGGATCAAGAAGTGATCTCAGTAAAGCAGTGAGGTACTTGCAGATAAGACAAGTTGGCATTTTGTGTAAGAGTAATCTGGGTCAGAGCAAAGCAGAAACATAAGGCTTCCATAACCTGATGATAAGGAATCTTCATCTGCACTTAAGAACATAAGAAGTGGAGTTAGTTTTGTAGAAAGGTGATGGTTAAATGTATTTCTATAAAGCTCTTGGTGCCTTCAGTTAGGATCCTCTGGGCTCACCACTGAATTAACATGTGAATTCCCAGTTGCTTCTGTAAAGAACTTGGAATATAAAGACAGATATCATATGAAAGGTGAGGGTGGTGAAGGGTATAAACCAACAAATACTAATTGAAATTAAAAACTTGTAAATAGGTGAATACTGAATGTCAACAAAAAAGTCACTACTAAAGTTTCCTGGAGAACCTTTGCATTGCTTCTTATGCATATAGACTATAATAGTTCTTTGTGTAATCTCTTGGAATTCACAGGACGTTGCTGCCACATTCTAACAGAAGTGCATGAAAAATATTTGGTTACCTTAAGTCTTGTTAAACTGTGCCAGTTTTGTCAGGCAACAAAGTTTGAGTCTGCTAGGCTAATGAAGCTCTTTTGGCCAAGGACTTTGTTTCTAGGAATGTGTGCCCCTGCCTTAAGGGGATGAAAACAAAGTTGAGAGAAAATTCTCCAGAAGATTTCTGTGCTACCTTTTAATGTCAGAAATGGTCTTGAACTTGATGAGACAAAAGAGGAAATGGAAGAGCTCCCTTTAGAGCTCTCTTTGGCCTCTCATGGGTTTTGTTGTCTGAGTGGTTCATTGCATTTTGTTTCTTGTCTTGCTAGATGGGCTGGTGATCCCATTGGTGGAACTGTCTGCAAAACAGGTTGCATTTCACATTCCATTCGAGGTGGTGGAGAAAGTTTATCCTCCAGTGCCCGAGCAACTGCAACTTCGAATCGCCTTCTGGAGTTTCCCAGAAAATGAGGAGGATATCAGGTAATGAATACTATATCTGTTTCATTGATGCTTAAGAAAAGGTTCCATTCACTAGAGGAGAATTGTTGTCCATTTGATGTCCCATATATTTGGTGCTTCTGCAGTTCCCGTGTGCCTTTTGTAATTCATGGATAGTTTACTGTGGGATATACTGTGATACTGGGTTTTATTTCGGGGTGAGCTGCCCTGCATATGTCCCAGGAAAAGCATGTACATGTCCAGGTTCTGTGTGGAAATTATAGCAGAATAAATGCACCCTTTAATTTGCCTGGTGGTAACTAGTTTGTAGAGTTTTGTCCTTTTGTTAGTCTTACAAAATGATTGTTCCATTTTGAATCTCTTGCTGGAGTTAGAGCTTTAACTGGGCTCAGAAATTGCCATGGAGGGCTGGCTCAGTGTGCTCTGGAGGCCTTTTGTTGGTGTAATCAGGAGAACCAGAATTTGCTAAGTACGTCCGTAATCAGTGGATACAGTAAGATGACTGTATTTATGTTTCCACATTAATTGTGTGAGTACAAAGTCAAAAACTCTGTGCTTTTAGATCTTTTTCCAAACTTTGCTGAAGCTTTTATACTATAGGAGGCCTATCGATGTGACGGTGCATTCAGAATTCTGTTGCAAAGTAGTGATATTATACTCTTTTAGAAAGAATCCTCCTGAAAGTTCTTGGATACATTTGTCTGAGGTTCTGGTGTCAGATGGGGGGGTAATGCCAGAAGTGCTGATGTAAGATCACCTGTGAGGGAACAGAGCCAGCCAGCTGGTTGTATATGCTCATTATTCTGATGAGCACAGGTGTAAAAAATACTCACATGAGCACTCGGGTAATTAACTAGAAGGAGTTTTTACTGTGGCATGCTAACATTAGACCTTGAATTATACCGTATATAAAATCTTGATTTTAGTCTATGAATGAGTTTGTATTTCAGAGCCTTGGGTTGTAATTCCTAAAAATGCCAGTGGCTTTTACACAAAGCTAGTTAAGAAGAGACTAATGATTTTTGTGGTTGAATTGTAGTGTGGAAATGGCAGAAGAAAGCTGGACTTCATATTAAAGCTAGTAAGGATTTTTCAAAAGCCATGTCAGCAAAAAGGATAATAGTGTGAAGTTTCTCAAAACCAGACCTACCCTGACATGTTGTGTTTCTCTCTCGCAGATTGTACTCCTGTTTGGCGAATGGCAGCGCAGATGAGTTCCAGCGAGGGGAGCAGCTCTTCCGGGTGAGGGCTGTCAAAGACCCTCTCCAGATAGGTAAGAACATTGCAACTCCACGTCTCTAGATACTTCAGATTCCCAAAATCATATCTGCAATGGGACAGCAGTGCCGTGATTGTGTCTCAAAACAAGTTTTTCTGGCATCCCAGCTTAAACTCCCTGCCAAATGTATTCTTTGTAATATCTTGAGCTAAATGCTGTGTTTATCTTGGCCTCGATCAGCTCAGCTGTGAAACTGACTGAAAGGCGAGGAATATTGGGAAAGATCTGTAATCTGCATTTTGCAAAAAACTACATAGGAAGCCTTTATCTCCATAATGCTTAAATTCCTCATTCTTGAAGAGAACTTGACTTTCTGTTTGTCTAATCAAATGAATGCCTTGCCTAAAGTGCACGTATGGCACAGAGGAGGTTTGCAAGGTTTAATTATTCTTGCAGCAAAAGAGTTGTATTAATAGTACAGTTACTCAATGTAGTATTTTGGCAGGCAGAAATCCCTGTTGTTGGACAGCGGGTTTATAGCTTCTCCTACCTTATCTTGTTCTTTTTATGTTTTATGGCTATAGAAGCTAATCTTATCTTATAGAAAGAATTGGACTCAGGATTTTTCATTAAATCCTTTGAAGCAATGAAGAACATGGAGCTAGCGTTTTCAGTGACAGCTGTTTGACAGGAAGGCTTTATGTGAAATAAAGATACTAGTATATCAAGGTGGGCCATGTCAGTCCAATCAGATTTTTTTTCTGCAAAAAAAGCTTCAGAATTAAAATATTAATTGGCATGTGAGAACTGAGCCTGGTTGTAATAAGAAAAATTATAATATTAAAAACTGTATAATGTTAAGGAGGAAATTTAGGAAATTTCCTGTATTTTCCTGTGATGAGTGATAGAGACTTCTATGAGCCTGTTCACTTAATAGGACCAGAAACATTTAAACCTCAGTGATCAATGAAATGAATAAATTTAGGTAAAGAACCCTCAGAAAGGGAATGAAAGGGACAGGTACTATAAAGTTTTGGGGACAACAAAAAGAGAAGGAGACAGCCATTAAGATATGCAAATTGCAAGAGGCTGATAAACTGTTACCTGAATGTAGGGTGAAGCATCTGAAAGGATTTTACCTGGTCTAGTGTCTACTGTAACAATAGTAGCAGGAATTCTTGGGTATGGAAGTGATTCCTCATACTAAAGATTCAGTTGTCAGTGAGACCAGATAATAGTTTTGGAACATCAACATCAGTTTGGAGATTGAGCAAAATAGGATTAAACTGACTTTTGGCGGCATTCATAATCTCCCAATGTCAGGACTGAAATGCTGAGAGAGGCCTTTAAGGCATCTGCTAAACTTGAGGAAGCCAAATGTTTGAGAAAGAGAAGATGAGTTACAATGCAGCTAGTTGAAATTCAGTAATTCCTGGGACTTCCACAGTGGAAAAGAGCGGAATATTTAATAGACAATAATAAGGCTGTGGTCAGAACTTGTTTCAGTAATACCTTAAAAAGGCGAGGAGGTGTAAAGCAATGTAAATGAACAAAGGCTGGGAATATTAATGCAAAACCTGTGCTTGGGGGAGGAGGAGTAGGGAAAAAGAGGAGGTGGTGAGTGATACAGGGGAGAAAGTTCTCAAGTACGCATACAGCAACTGGGCTTCTTGGCAAAGGATTATGTGTGTGGAAGGAAAGGAAGCAACTTTGTTTAAACAGGAACATTCTTCCTCCTTAGTAGAGGAACTGTATCTAATGAAAGGTGGAGTTTTTTTTCCATGAATAGCAGCCCAGAAGCACAGGTGGGGTGGATATATTTTCAGTTTTCTACTCCAAATGATTTTAAAGTGTATGGTTGCAGTTTTGAGTTTCATATACTGACAAAGGGGAAAAGAAACACAGGAAATGAAGCAGCCCTTGATATGGGATTTTATTTGGAGGGGGATTGAGCAGTGCATTGTGATATTGTGATCAATAGGACAAAGCTTGACATGTGTTTTATGCTCTTTTTGTCCCATTTCCCTTTGCAGCTTAAGATTATTTTTTAAACATAAGTGATTAATCATAGGCATTTTGTTCACATCCATATCTGTAATTTCGGAACAGTAGTGCCTCTTCACTACATTCCAAAACCCTGCTTTTTTACACTGTTCTATTGTATACACACATAGAATTGGCTTTTATAGACCTTCTGCTGCATGTTCACTTTGTAGCAGCCACATACCCATGTTGTTGCGCTGGAGACATTATTGCTGTTTGATAACAGGTGTGTTGTAGATTTCAGGGACTTTTTTTCTGTCATCGTCCTCATTTCTTTTTAACAGCTGAGGAAGGCAGCAGCAGGTTCTGTTTGGATTCTAACTTTGCATTTCCTTGAGTAGTGTTTCTAAGTCTCCACTTTTTAGAGGTTCTCCTATCTTGGTTTAAAACACACAAATGTCCAAAATTGCCTTGCTTTACTTCCCATCTAAAAGCTTTTGTTCAGCTCCTGTTTTCCTGCTTCTGTTAGCCTTGTGAAGGCTAGAGAAGTTCTTAAATTCTAAACAGAGGTGTGTTTGCTGTCATTGTTGTAGGGGCATCAGAACTACCAAATAGTGATGAAGAAAGCTTGGAATATGTATTGAAAGCAGTATTCTTAGGAGGGTGCTGTTGTCTCATAGGTCGCTTAGATCTTGTTCATTCAAGTTGCGTACTGAGTAGATTGGGGTATTTACAACCTGTGCATTAGCACCTGAAATCATGAGGACTAATAGGACCTCAGAAAATTATTAAACAGACCTGAAATATCATCATAAATGAGTTTTATGATAAAATAAATACTAAAAGCAGAAGACATTGATGTAGCAAAAATTCTGAAAAATGGATTTTAACATTGGGAAGCATACCTTTTGCTTGGATACTTTTCCTGGAAGATTAAGTTTCAGGGTTAGAGCAGTGAGAAGGATAGCCTTTGGACTGAAAAAGAAGTCATTTCTATTTTGCAGGTTCTGTCTAGGCAGCAGTTGAGTATTTCCAGCTTTTACATTTTGTCAAATCATGTGTTTCTCCCCTTTGGAAGAAGAGGCAGGCATCTCAGGAGGAGATGCTACAGAGTGTTGTGAGTTTATGCAGGGAGAAAATTAGAAGGGCTAAAGCCCAGCTAGAATGCTACTGGCATTAAAGACAACAAAAATGTTTTTACAAATACATGAGGAACAAAAGGAAGGCTAAGGAGAATCTCCATCCTTTATTTGATGCAGGGGGAAACACGGGATTAAAGAATGAGGAAAAGGCTGAGGTGTTTAATGCCTTCTTTGCCTCTCTAATAGCAAGACCAGCTGTCCTCAGGGTACCCAGCCCCCTGAGCTGGAAGACAGAGATGGGGAGCAGAATGAAGCCCCTGTGATCCAGGAGGAAATGGCCAGTGACCTGCTGTACTACATAGACCCACACAAATCCATGGGGCCTGATGGGATCCACCCAAGGGTACCGGGGGAGCTGTTGGAAGAGCTCACCAAGCCACTCTCCATCATTTACCAGCAGTCCTGGTTAACCAGAGAGGTCCCAGGTGACTGGTTGTTAGCAAATGTAAAGCCCATCTATAAGAAGGGGTGGAAGGAGGATTTGGGGAACTACAGGCCTGTGAGACTGACCTCAGTGCCAGGGAAGGTCATAGAGCAGATGATCTTGAGTGCCATCACACTGCACATGCAGAACACTGGGGGATCAGGCCCAGCCAGCTTGGGTTTATGAAAGGCAGGTCCTGCCCGACGAACCTGATCTCCTATAACAAGGTGACCTGCTTAGTGGATGAGGGAAAGGCTGTGCGTGTTGTTTACCTGGACTTTAGTAAAGCCTCTGACACTGTCTCCCACAGCATTCTCTTGGAGAGACTGATTGCTCATGGCTTGAATGGGTACACTGTTTACTGGGTAAAAACTGTCTGGAGGGGAGTTGCACCAGGGGTGGTTTAGATTGGATATTATGAAAAATTTCTTCACTGAAAGGGTGGTCAGGCATTGGAACAAGCTGTCCAGGGAAGCGATGGAGTCATCATCCCTGGAAGCATTAAAAAACCACGTGGATGTAGCACGTGGAGACATGGTTTAAGGGTGAACGTGCCACGTGCCAGATTAACACTTGGAGTCAGGGATCTTAGAGATCTTTTCCAACCTGAAAGATTCTGTGATTTTTTTAATTTTTCCTGGTAAAAGAAACCCTTAGTTATAATTCAGATTTCTGTCCTGTTGTGGTTTCCTGTGTTATCCCATAAACATCCATTAGCAGTGAGAGTGTCAGACGGGTTCATCAAGCTACAGATTGAGTTGAAGCTTGTGATATGTCATGCAAAAGCCCTTAAATTTTGTCACTTTTTATAAGTGTTCTTCCGTCATTGCATTATCAGTTAACCGTCTTCATATACAAAAAAGAATGTCATGTAGGAGCTTGATAACGTACAACTGTGATCCAGCCTTCTCTAACACCTTGCGAATGCTTCTTTTTCGCAGCGAAACAGAATTGCTGCAATTCCACCTTGTGAAATGCTTAATTTGCTTATGTGAAAATCAGGGCATTAGTCTGAAATGCTTTTAGTATAACAGAAGGACTAGCTGAAATGTTTGGGTTGTATTATCCAAGTGTGGAACATAAATTCGAACTGTATCAAGTAATAGGCAGTGCAGTAATTTTGTGTGAATGCCTTCTTTTGTTTTGATTCTGTTCCAATTGCTAAAATGGCTGAAGAATTTGGGTGGCATTATGTGTACTAATAAAATAATCACCCACATCAGGAAGAGGATTTGAATTCTGGTGAACAGGAGAGATAGAAAGGTTAAGCAAGGTAAGAGCAAGTTTGTGTTGGTACGGGGATCATATTTTGAGGAGGAAATGATGCACATTATTTTAAATGGAATTAATTTAGTATGTCACGTGCACTCCTGAACACTATCAGTATTAGGATCTCACAATATGATTATAAAAACTTAGTAATGTGGAATTATAATGTATTTCCTTGTCCTGACGATGGAGAAACTATTTCAATCAGCTATCCCAAGCCATGTTTTCACTTAAGGTAGACTGTTGGAATGAAGTTTGCTTATGACTTTGATACTGATGTCTTTTTCTGCTCGTATGTGTGCTCCTGGATGAGCATTGTCTCCACAGGAAGCTGCATTATGAGTTACAACTGCTATGCACTGTGAGTTTACACAAAGCTAAGCTTTGTTAAAGTCCTTTGTCATCCTGCCTGAGATGAGATCCGTAATTTATTCAATTATGATCACTGAATAATGGGGCTGGATTCATTCAAGTGTTATTTCTGAAATTTCCTTTTCCATTGATTTTAGTCTAAGCAAGAGGGGTTTTCTGTTTTCTGAGTAGATGATTTATAAACATGGGATATTAAGAAAATTGCAAGGAGGTGGATAATTTATGAGAAATGGGTAGTTTCTGAAGCCACAAAGTGAAACTAAGTGTTCAGGTTAAGTGCTGCCTTCTTTAGTTAACTGCAAAATTGTGGAAGTTGATTGACTTGGAAATAATTCTGAACTTGTTTGAAAATAATGCCTGTTCTGCACTGTTGCCAGAGTTAGCACAGAAGTCATGCCTAAAATATGTACAATCTAGCTTTGACTCTGTGAACAAAACCCAACACTTTTCAATGATGGCTTCATCCAGTTCTGCTTTTCTCTGTTAAATAGTAATAGAAAAATAAATTAATATATTAAAAGCTGGTATTTTGGAACCTCTTATAACACATTATGCTTCTATACTAATATTCAGCTGTAGCTGTTTGGGAAGAAACAAGTGCTGGAAACTCTAGATCCATGTCCATCTGTATATGGATGTTGTTGCTAGATGTGTTTCAATGTTTAAATGGCATATACCTAAATTTCCGTGCTAGCTGAATCTGTTTCCCAAGTACCCAAAGGGTAACTCTGGACTTTTGAATTTTACAGGTTTCCATCTGAGTGCCACTGTGGTGCCCCCGCAGATGGTGCCGCCCAAGGGCGCGTACAACGTGGCGGTGATGTTTGACCGGTGCCGGATCACGTCGTGCAGCTGCACCTGCGGGGCCGGGGCCAAGTGGTGTGCTCACGTCGTGGCGCTCTGCCTCTTCCGCATCCACAACGTAGGCCTGGAAACACGGTTCTGCTCTCCCCCGGGCATCTTCACTGAGTCTCTCCTCAATTACAGCTTTATGCAACACACATTCTCTTTAGGAAAGCTGTTTTTGGCACTCCTTTTGGTTACAGATTGTGTAAATATGCGCTCACAGTTGTGGTCTGCAGAGTGAATTGTCTGAGGCTGTAAACTGCAGAATGTCCTTTGATAATGTGCAGATTGCTTTTTGGCCCCTTCCTGTTTCTCATTTAAGTGCTAGAATTACTCAGTCCTTCTTCATCTCTGCAAAGAGTGAAAGGTCACCAATAGTTAGTCTTTTAAAAAAAGCGTTTGTATGTATGGGATTTGAAAGCTCGCTCTTTACGTTGCTTGATCAGAGTGCAGAAGGAAAGTAATTTTCATCACTGTTGGCCTTTATGTTCACTGCCTCATTTTAACACATACTGGCAGGTAAGTGTAATTTTGACTTGTAGATTTCAAGCAGTCAGTTAAGTTTATGTTAGGTTTTTATTTGACCGCTTTTACTCTGTGTGGCCTTCTGTAGAGCAAAAAGTAGGCATTTTATACCCCAGCCAGATTCAGTTGAAAATGTGTAGAATCAACATGAAATACACCAGTTGAGGGTTCAATCTTGCATACAGTTTAATTTCTTCTGTCTTAAGGAAGGATTAAGCTTTGGTGACTGAAGGAACAGATTTTCTGCTGTCACAGAACATTTTATAGCTAACATGCTATAAAACTCCAGATTCTTAAATAAGTGCTAATAACCTGCTGAAGCTTAATATTTCACAATGGACAATTGTAATTGGCTTAAATTGATACTCTTGTGAAATCATCAGAATATCGGTATACTTTCTGTACTTAGGACTAGAGAGTTAGCAAAAAAAGGGTTCTGCTTTGAATTATTAGTTTGAGTTTTAAAAGGTGGGTATGGAGAGTGATGATAAAAAACAAATTTTCATTTATATTATTTACAGTTGGGAAGTTTGGACCCTGTGTAAGAAAAAATCATTCTTTTCCTTCCAATCCTTTCTTTACCTGAAAAATGATAGTGAAAGGATTTCCATGTTTGCATAAACTCCCTGCTGACATTAGCAATTTAAGAGCCGTGGTATATTGCTCTATGTAGACAAGACAATATGAGAAATATCTTTATTATCAAACTGCTCTTGCCTGTTTACAGTTTAAATTTTAAGTAGGGCATTTTTGTTCTATAAAGTGAAAAAGAAAGAAACTAGTGATGGTGGGTTTTTTTAATCTAAGTTGGTTTTAGATATAAGAAGAGATCGATTTTAATACTGAATTAAAAAAATGAGGTGGTTGTGATTCTGTGAAACAGTCTCCGACAGAGCTGGTTGGTTTGCCAGAAGCTTAAGGAATAATGTCCTATTTTAGAGGTTTGTTTGTGAAATCTCTGCCAGTATTTGTGCAATTGCTAGCAACAACAGATCTTAAGCACAGCTGTTAAAGCAGTTTCCTTGAAAAAAACCTCTTAAAAACAGCTTTTATGAAGCCAAAACAGCTTGTTTGCATCTTATCTGCAACACACCACTTAATTTCAGAGAGGAAAAAAAAAATTGGCCATCAAGACCAAGCATGATATGCATCAACATAGCTACTGTTCATGACACTTTATCCTTTTGGTGGACACAGCTTTGTTAAGTCTGCCCTGTTAATGGTGGTTTGTATCTCGTTTTCTTTCTTCAGGCATCTGCAGTATGCTTACGAGCACCTGTTTCTGAGTCTTTGTCTCGACTACAAAGAGACCAATTGCAAAAATTTGCTCAGTACCTAATCAGTGAACTTCCACAACAGGTAAGTGGAGACAACTGATGTGACTGAATTTTTGTTAAATTCAGTTATCTTTATTCTGGGTCAATTTATATGATGTCTTTTGTTGCAAGATAACCAGTCGTGCTATTCAATTTGAGCTGCTGGGAAGGCATTCAATTCTTGCTCTTTTCAGGTTTGCTGTTCTGTTATTTGACAATTGTCTGTTGCCAAGTAAAAGATTAAAAGTGTCTTAAAAGGACAGAGTGGTGGCTATTCATATCAGCATGAATATGTGCTGAACTTGTGGAAGATCAAACACAATAAATAAATGCATGGTCCTGGAAAACTTAGGTCAACCCTAATCAGGTTGTTTCTTTTTTTGTGTATTTGATTAGCTAAATGGAGAAGACTGCCCAGGGAAGGTATTGTATATGTCTTAAATGGGCACTTTCTAATGCACCCAACTGGTGACCTTTCGACTTACCCCAGTGTGGCTTCTTGGTGATTCGTAGGAATCATTTGGAAAGTAATGGACATGAACTCTTGTTTGTCAAAGGCAAAGTCTGCTGTCTTATTCCTTAAATATCTGTGTTGTTCAAGGTCAGGTCATTAATATCATCTGCCTAAAATGTTTGCACAAAATGCACAGGAATACCCAAGTGATTGTGAAATGTCTGCTTTAAAAATATAAGGGCTCGGCAGCTTTTTAATGCTAAGTTCAACTAAAGGAGATTGAGAAAAACTGACCTGCATGGGTATCTGTCACATTTCAGTAGTGCATTCATAATGCACTCCTCTTAAATAGGAGTTAGATTACTGTCAGCATGTGCCTAAAATTCATATTATGGTGCTGTGCTTGGGACACTAAGACATTCTATTTCTAAAATGTCCTCTAAATTTCCTACAGAAATACTAATCTTCTTAGGAGAAGAAATAGAGGAATTGTATGATATGAAACTGAAATAAAAATACTGCTTTCTTGTTGCTGAGAGATGAGCACCAATGGCATGTGCTTTTTGCTGCATTATGTAACAGGCAAAGCTTTTCTTCTCTCGGTAAAGACTCTGACCTTAATGTCACATAGTCTAGTGCTTAATGGAGGAGAGCTTTGAAAGGCTAGTAGTGGTGGTAGCTGTTTCCTGAATGGCATGTCAATAGTATGCTTTCAAATATTTTGTGTCTGCTCCTTTCTGCAAGGTTTATTTCTCCTTTGGTCATGTGTACCAGCTGTGCACCAGGAACATCTTAATTAATTAATTTTTGCTATTTGCCACATAATCTGATGGATGCTGCCCAACAGAAAAGTTTGGGTTTTATTGGCAGATATGTCTTAACCCGTGTTGTGTAATTCCTTTGAAAAAGGCAAGACACACCCCAAAACTCTTCCAACAGTCTTATTCCCTGTCTTCAAGATTTCTGGGTGGAGATAGATACTCTGATACCTTGGGACACCATATTTTGACTACATGATATAGAATTAGAGTAGGCTGTACACATGATTCTATTTTATCTTTATTTCCGGTTTGTGAACATTGTACGGTAATATAATGCTGAATTACTTTCAAGTGTAGGGGGATGGTAGTCTGTAGAAATGCAGCTAGGTAAGATGTTTTTCAAAATCTCTGTAGAAAGTGTTTAGTGTAGCTATGAAAATGACAGTGATTCTGAGCAGCTTACCTAGTTCTTTGCCCAAAAGCTGTTTCCCCTTATGAAGCCAGTACTCCTATTCCTATTAAATATGAAAATCTTGGCAAAAATGCCTGAAGCAGTGTCACTGCAGGTCGCTGATACTTGAACTTAAAGGCGTGATATTGCCTAGACCTGTGACTTTTCTGCTTTGTGATGTCTTAAAATATGTAGTAGTGGAAAAGAGGTACAAGGATAGCTTAATGCTGAGTGTGTTTCTTCAGGTGATTAAAATGTAAAATATCCTTCTGAAGCATTTTATCTTCCATTTGTTTGAGATGGATCTGTATTATTTGCAAATATAGGTCACTTGCTTTACCTCAGCTGATGTGTGGAGAGAGGTGAGGGTTGTCAGATATTCTGTTCCAAGTCATTTAAATCCAAACTACATGGATTAAAAATTTACCTGTTGTAAGTGTACATGCTAAAGGCTAAATGGGCTGCTAAGGTGCAGCCCAGATCTAGTTTGGGAAAAAGCTCTTTCTATTGTGCATTTTTCTTTCAAGAATAGCATGTTAAGGGTATATCTACACAGGATTTTACAGTCAGGTGTGAGCCTTCTCTGCTTATGCTCTGAGCTGTCCAGAAGCTGTGATTAGTTTGGTGCTGAAATTGCTTTAGCTTATTGTTGAGTCCCTTTGCTAACAGGATGGTAAATAAGCTAAAGTCTGCCCAAAAAGTTATGTGTGAATGTATTTTATAGTTTGCTCCCTTGCTTCTATTAGCTTGGGTTTTAGAGAAATGATTTAGGAACAAGAAATAAAAAACTTTCTAAGTGCAGGAAAGCAGTGACCTTGACAGCAGTGACTTCCCTACCTACTTCTCAAAATTAGCTGCAGTATCATTTTTTGTGGGCTCTTATTCCTCAAGAAATGAGAAAGGAGCTAGTAATCTGTGATGCTTTTGTTTACTTAAGAGTGTGACTGCAGAAAGTGAGCCGTGCATAGGTCTTGGCTTTGAGAAAAGAGAGGTGTGACAGCTGGTTGCCGTCGTGTGATCTTTAGCACCCTCTGTCGTCCTTTCTGAAAACGTAGCACCGTGTATTCGATACTTCTGAAATTACCTGAGTGATCAGTAATGATCTTTAACTGGGTGTATCAGGATAAGAAATACTGTGTATATTGAAAGTCTACTTCGTGTTTTCAGATTCTTCCAACAGCTCAGCGCTTGCTGGATGAGCTGCTGTCTTCTCAGTCTACTGCCATCAACACAGTGTGTGGAGCCCCAGGTAACTAATGTGTCTTATTTCAGTAATCTGTGTTACAGATTACTGTGGATGTATTTCCACTGCTTCAGGTTTCTGAACTGATCTGTTACCTTGTAGCTTGAATTGCAGGTGAAGATTAAGGAAAAGGGATGAGTACAGGCAATTGCTGGTGTAATGGATGCCTCAGAGTGTTGGCAGAGGAAGGGAGCATCAGGCAATGCACCTTTCTAACAAAGTGTTTTTCTTTATAATTCGGTATTAATTATAGACTCCTGGAAATGTTGATTGGAGGGGACCTCTCCAAATTCCTACTTGAAACAGGACTGTTTGCAACACTAGATTTGGTTAGCTGTGACTTGGGCTAGTTTAGCTAAGTCTTGGTTACCAGAGATATTAGAGTATTCCTGTTTTAGTGCTGCATTACTCTTTTGGTCAAGAATTTTTTCCTAGTGTCCTGTATGAATACCCTTTTTTTATCCTCTTCTAATACAAAGAAGAGTTTGTCTGCATTATGTTTTTGATTAATGATCACTCTGACCCTCTCTATTTTAGATGAAATTAACCCATCTTCCTCAGTCTGATCTCATAGGTCATGTGCTCTTTGCCCCCAACTATCTTGATACCCCTTTCACTAGATCACAGAATCAGTTAAGTTGGAAAAGACTCAGATCATCGAGTCCAACCTCTAACGAAACATCACCTTGTCAACTAGACCATGGCACTAAGTGCCATGTGCAGTCTTTTCTTAAAAACCTTCAGGGGCAGTGAGTCCATCTTCCTGAGCAGCCCATTCCAATGGTTAATCACTCTTTCTGTGAAGAAATTCCTCCTAATGTCCAACCTAAACCTCACCTGGTGCAGCTTGTGCTGTGTCCTCTTGTCCTGTCGCTGGTTGCCTGGGAGAAGAGGCCAACCCCTACCTGGCTACAACCTCCTTTCAGGTAGTTGTAGAGAGTGATAGGATCTCCCCTGAGCCTCCTCTTCTCCAGGCTAAACAACCCCAGCTCCCTCAGTTGCTCCTCATTGGACTTACCCTATACACCATTCCCCAGATCTGTTGCCCATCTCTGGACTCACTCCAGCACCACAATGTCTTTCCTGAACTGAGGGGCCCAGAACTGGACACAGTACTCAAGGTGCAGCCTCACCAGTGCCAAGTACAGGGGGACAATCACTTCCCTACACTGTCTGGTTTCTCAGCATCATTTCTGGACTGGGAGACCCAAAAATGGATACAATATCCCAGATATAACTTGACCAGTGCCAGGCAGAGGGGATGAACTAAGTTCCTTAAGTCTGCTAGCTGTGCTTTTCTTAATATAGCCCAGTTTGCAGATCTTTTTTTCTGTTTTGTGTTTTCAGTTAAAGTTTGCCATTGATTTTTGTTGAGGTTGGCATCTGCCATAATCACCAAACCCTATCAGATACTCAGCCATTTGGTTTTCCGTTGTACTGGTGCATGGGGTTTTCTGTCCCAGATACAGAAATGTACACTTTTCTCAATGAACTTGGTGAGGGTTCTGTTGGCACAGTCCCTGAATTTCTCCTGATCTCACAGGTTGTAGTGCTGCCTTTCAGCATGCCAGACATATCTCCTAATTTAGCGTTGTCAGCGCTGAAGGTAACGTTATGGTAGCATTTTAAGGTAGTTCTGAGTTGGGTGTTCAGCAACAGGTGAAATAAACTGAGTAGCACTGCCTGTGTACTCCCTGTAAACTCTGTAGTTGAACATACAGAGTAAAATATATTCAAAGCCTGCAAACTGTACCTGTGTTTTTCTTTTGTAAGATCCCACTGCTGGACCCTCTGCATCAGATCAAAGCACCTGGTACTTAGATGAATCTACTCTGAGTGACAACATAAAGAAAACCCTTCATAAATTCTGTGGACCCTCTCCTGTTGTTTTCAGGTAAACTGTTTCCCATTAAAGGGAAAATGTGATATTCATGTAATCTGTAAGCTCCATTCACCATATAGTCTGTAGGCTTATGTGATGACTTGGGCTGAAGGATCCTCAGTTTCACAGTCACTCTTCTGAACTTCGTAGCCTGTCTAGTGTTATTTCAGTAGAACAGACTGTATTTGCACAATATTTTGCTTGTGTGGTGTTCTTAGGCTCATTATGCATTCAGTCTTTTAGGTTATGCATGTCTGTCCCATTGGAGGGGCAAATATATTTCTGCATGTAGATTATACTCAGGATTTTATATGACTGTGCTTGATTTAATTTTTTCTCATCCTTGTTCTTCTGTTTAACCTGCAGTGATGTGAATTCAATGTATCTGTCTTCCACGGAACCACCAGCTGCTGCTGAGTGGGCCTGTCTCCTGCGTCCCCTGCGAGGAAGAGAACCTGAAGGAATCTGGAACTTGCTTTCCATTGTGCGGGAGATGTTTAAGAGACGGGATAGCAATGCAGCTCCTTTGCTGGAGATTCTGACTGACCAGTGTCTCAACTATGAGCAGGTATTCAAACCTCTTTGCTGTGGAGCAGGGGGAAATTCTGGGGAACCAGGGCAGAGCCAGTGACTGGTGTGCTATGCATCTATACAATCGAATACAATTCTTTTAATAGTCTGTATGCATTATGGGCATGTGTTTCTCCACGCTAAAATGATGACACAGTTTGCTCTTGTTCTGATTTAATTATGTCCTGATAACACTGTATTCCCCAAATGCCTCAGTCCTTCTGGCATGAATATGTAGAGTCTGATTTCTTTTGTTCAGCATATTTGATTCAATTTTTACCCAATGAAGGTGATTTATTTTAATGTTGTGGGTTGTTTTTTTTTAAACGAAGGATGTCACATATGAGCTGTCACTTTGATAAAATCTAAACATATATGTTGTGTGATAGAATCTCTGATTCTTTTGTCGTCTTTGTGGAAGATACCTTTCTGTGCGTTTAAGTAGTAAATCTTTTTATATTTTTTAAAATAATATTAGGAAAAAGGTTTCCTTTGACAGTTCAAGACACTGATCTCAGTCTGTAATATAAATTGCTGTGTAAGTTTCCTTGTTGCTCCATCACATACCTCAACTTTGATCAGGAAAGAGGGAATGCTTTATTTATCACGTTTGTTCCCTTTTTCCCTCCAAGTGTGAAGGCCTCTAAGTGAACCTCCTGTGAGTGTTTTGTTCTTTGGGCATGTGCCTTCTAACCAGGGAAGTTTTGAGGCCGTTAGTTCTCACAAACCAATACTGCTTTAATGGTTGTAGTTATTTTGGAGTCAAAAGAAAACATGGTACTAACCACAGATCCCATTTCCTTGTGATTATGAGATTAAGTGAGAACAGGGGGTGAGATGTTGGCCACAACACAGCTGTACTGAGGTGTTTCTCCTGCAGATAACCGGCTGGTGGTACAGTGTGCGAACATCTGCGTCACACAGCAGCGCCAGTGGGCACACAGGACGCAGCAATGGCCAGTCAGAAGTGGCTGCTCATGCTTGTGCAAGTATGTGTGATGAGATGGTGGTTCTTTGGAGGCTGGCTGTCCTCGACCCAACTATTAGTCCACAGAGGTGAGCCCCAGAATCAGATTTGGTCTCTTTTTAATTTCTGTGATACTCAAGCACACTCAAGAGTTTCATCCTGTAGATTTCTAGTGTTTGTATCATTACCTCATTACCTGTTCAACCATTAGTCCTTCTGGACTATGTGCTATGTAAGGTTCAGAGCACTGTAATTACTTTAATTGCTATTGCTGCTTACTTTTAGCAAGATCAAGTAGTTTGAATGATTTGTTTTCTGAGACTCCTCTTTTACGTACGGGTGCAATTCTATATTGTAATGTCCCAGTGGAGAACATTTGTTTGAGTGATAGCACCAGCTACCAATTAATTTTAATGGTTTCTATATTTAACCATTCAGCACTTTCATGGATTTCTGTTTAGCCCAGTCATTCACTGTTGTGTGTTTCAAGATGAAAACTCTGAGGGAGTTTATTCTCTGCAGTGCATTGGTAAACAGTGTCACCAGTGTATGATTTTCAGTGTTTCCAATTGTCTGAGAAAAAATTGTGTGGCTTCTGCAGATTTCTAAACCATATTGTGCCTTGGTGAATCACTGCCGTCTTTATTTAGCACCAGTTGAATAGCAGAAGAGGAATTGAGAGCTCATATTGAGATACTGTGGTTGACATTGCAATAATTTGTTTTGTACATCTTGTCTACAAAGTGTGGTGTGTAAAATATATTTGATTAGTGTAATATGCTATAAATTCTCAGGAAAAGTTTCTCAGAACAAATGAAAACAGGATGGTATTTTCAATACAATTACACATTAACAGGATTTGCTTTCTGTGAATTGTTGTGTAACATTAATAAAATGCCCTATCTATGTAAGGTACATCAAGGACACTAAAATGGATGCAGTTTCTGTCGTGTACACTTTACAATATGAAGTAGCTAAATATAGGAGTTGAAGACAAATCAAAAACTGTAGGAAACAGGGAATGAGACTTAAAATAAACTCAAACATCAATCAAATCACATAGAAAAAACATAAAAGATTTTGGCCATTAATAAAGTATGAAGCTGTGCTATGTATATTCTAATTTGTGTTATTTGACACAGTTCAAATTTGCTCTGATCTCCTACTTGAGCTAATGAATAATTGAAATGCTCTGGCTTGATTACCTATTCTCTTGGTTTTTGAATAGTCTCCAAGAAGAACCCTCTTCTACTTTTCCTTCCTATACTTTGCAGTGAATCATAAGGAGACTTTGCAGGCTCTCATCCTTATGTTACCTTTCCCGAGTAGTTCCCACTCCTTCTTTTTCCTTCTGAAAATCTTCTCATTGATTAAGCCCTACTAGTCTGGTCCCTTGTTAATTACTTTCTCGAGTGGACAAATATAAGTAGTCCATTTTGTTTAGTCCCTTTTGTCCTAATGCCCTTTGCACCTAAATTGGGGCACCCCATTTTTTAAATTTTTGTTCTTTGATTGAAGTGTTGGGATTGTACCTCAGATGTCTGAAATCTGTGGCAGAAACAAAATGGCGGTTGATTGAGACACCTGGTGAAATTTCTAGAAGTGTCTTTTCCTCTCTTTGGATTAGATCATCAATCCATTTAGACTATTTTGCTCATGTGCCTAGGCCCTATGTGAGATTTAGAGCTGGGAAATGCAGAACTGTTTTGTTCTTCCCATAGCAATATGGGGCATGGGACTAACTGCTATGTAATTTAAGGCTATATAGCCCTACCAGCTTGATTCTTCCTCAAAGTTATTTGAACATCAATTATTGTTGTCTTGCTTGTTCTGTGCCTATGTTTTACAACAGTTTATTCTCCTGAGGACAGCCTGCTACTGTCTAAATTAAATTGTTGGGCTCTGTATGGGCACATCAGGGTAAAGAGGTAGGTAAGTGTCTGGGAGGCAGATTAGGTGGTCCTATCTGTCAGTGTGCTTTCCTGCATAGGCTGTGTAGGTTCTACTTGTGAATGTCTTGACTAGAATTATTCACAGTGTAGTTTCACAGCTGCTGCAAACTGTTTTATGGGTGTTTCCAAGAACCATTCCCCATGGTACTCACTGGTCTCAGGCTGCTGAGGCTCACATCTCTAACACCGTATTTAGGGCAGATAAGCAAACAGGGCAGACAGTATTTAATTTTAAACCTTGCAGTTTATATTGTACTTTCATGTTGGTAGTGTTCACATTTTGTTTCCATATTATGGACCTGTCTAGGACTTGGTTGTTAATATACCTGTTCGCTTTTTTCAGCCTGTCTTCTTACTACTGCTGCATATACTTAATTCAGCAGAAGATGTTTCTGGCCAAAGGAAGGAGGTGTTCTGTGTGTTAAGTAGTAGTTTGTTGCAGGTCCTTTTTGTGTCTGCTTCCTAACCTATCCTCTTACTTCTCTTAGGCGCAGGGACCTTTGCTCACAGCTCAGACAGTGGCAGCTGAAAGTCATAGATAATGTTAAGAGGGGTCAGCACAAGAAATCACTGGAGAAGCTCTTCCAAGGTTTCAAGCCAGCTGTGGAAGCCTGTTACTTCAACTGGGAGGAAGCTTATCCCATTCCTGGGATTACATATAGCAGCACTGACAAGAAGAACTCATTCTGTTGGGTAAAGGCCATCCAGCACAGGAGCTGCCGGTTGCAGTGTTCAGAAACTGCCTGTGAGGCTGGTAGAACCCATGGGCAGGAGCCCGGGGGACCATGTCTGCAGCCTGGGCTGCGGCCCTCTCCCCAGGAGCCAGCAGTTCGTCCAAAGGAACTTACTGGAAAGCGGAAGGTTGTCTCTGAAACACCACAGAGGGTTCTGAGACGACTCTCAGCAGAAGGGGATAAAGCTGTGTATAAGACTGCAGTGGGCAAAGCAAAGTTGCCGGTGAGCAAAGGTTTGACCAGTAAACATAGTGGGAAACGCCGCATGAGCAGTGAAGACAGTTCTCTGGAGCCAGACTTGGCAGAGATGAGCCTGGATGACAGCAGCTTGGCACTCGGGGCGGAAGCCAGCAACACCTTTAGTTTTACAGAAAGCCCACTGAGCAGGAGCTACAGGGATGCCTTTGAGGAGGATGGTGGGGTGTACTTCTCTGAGGGACCTGAGCCCACTGTCAGGAGCAGTTCCATGGCCAAGAAATCGCCCAAGGATCCTGTGGGGGAGATGGGTAGTGGTGATGATGACCTGCCTTCTGCAGATGAGAACACTGGTGGTGTGAGCCTGAAGCCAGAAGAAGTGGGAGAGAATGGTGCAGTGGGGGGAGGGGATGATGGAGAAGAGGAAGATGATTACCAGGTGTACTATCTGAATCCACAAGAGGTAGCCAAGGAAGATGATGACAAAGTTGAAGGGGGAAATGAAGAGGAGCAGGATATATTTGCTGGTATAAAGCCTCTGGAGCAAGAGAACCGGATGGAGGTGAGCTGAATCTAGTTCAAAACACTGTTTTGTGGTTTTCTGTATTATATAAATCATGATCTCACCACCCTCCTAGCAGTCACACTTAACCCACCATGTTGTTAAAGTGCTTAATTATAATGTCCTCTTAACCCATTGTATCATAAAGTATCTACATTCTTAAGGCAGTGGTAACATATATCTGTTTCCCACAAGCTTGACTTCCTGTTTCTGTGCTAACTGCAATTGTGTCTCAGTTTTAGCTAGTCCCATCTCACACTCCAGGATTTACAGACAGAGACAAAACTGTGTGTGCTTTTTATGTAATTTGCTTTTTTATGCTCTTGGAAACAGCAAAATTGAGCTGGAATTAAAAATGAGCAAGAAAAATTTAAAGCCTACCATGTAAGCAGAAATTCTCTGAAAAGGAGGGGCAGTCTAAATAGACTGTGTCAAATTCCTATAATAACCTCAAAATATGTTTAGAGCTTGCACCTGTATGAGCAAACAGCTGAATGGAAATGGCATGAAGTTGTGTCAGGGCAGGTTTAGATACTAGGACTCTTCACTCATTAGATTCTTCACCCAGATGGTGGTCAGGCACTGGAGTAGATTCCCCAGGGAAGTGACAGATTTCCCCAAGTCTGACGGAGTTAAGCAGCATTTGGACAACGCTCTCGGGCACATTGTGTGATTCTTGGGGTCTCCTGCGTAGGGCTAGGAGTTGAACTTTGATGATCCTACTGGGTCCCTTCAAAGTCAGAATATTCTATGATTCTATGAAATATTTATAGTCAGTCAGTTTGGGTTTTAGGGTTTTTTTGAGTTATTCTCTGATCTCTTATAGCACGTGGAGAGAGGATGAGACTTAATCACGGAAGAAAGGGTGTTTTAGGGAAGTGCTTCAAGGAGTGGTGGGGAAGGTGGAGGCAAGGAGGGCTCTGAGAACACCTGCTGCTGACGTTAATCAGGAATTGTGTTTGCAGTCTTTGTGACAAGTGGATTTGAGCAGGCTAACTGCAGGCTGGGGGAGTGTGGTTTGCATGTGACCATCTCTTCTTTCTTGCAGATCCTGTTTGCCTGTGCAGAGGCCTTGTATGCACATGGATACAGTAATGAAGCTTGCCGCTTAACTGTAGAGCTTGCCAGGGACCTACTGGCCAACCCTCCAGATCTCAAAGTGGAGCAGCCACCAACTAAGGTAGAGAGAGAGCTTGTCTAGTTTTGGAGTTAGAGAGAAAGTTAGAAGGAATGTGTGGGGTGGATACAACAGCATTCCCAGGCATTCCTCGTTTGCTGTGATTTGGGGCCTTTCACTGATGCTTCCTCGGGATTGAACTCTAGATGTCATTACTGTGCCTTATTGCTCTCTGTGTGTTTGTGAATAAAAGGGAGAAAGAAAATAAGAGGCCTTTCAGCAGGGACTTGAAGTCTTCAGAAACTTGAGATTAGTTAAAAGCTGCTTCGCTTTTCCTTATGCTTCAGAGACAAGCTTAGTTTGTCTGTTAAAAGCTGCAGCTCTTTTAGGAATCTATTTTAAATCAATTGAACAAAACACTGTATTTAACATCAGCTTCAGTTGATATTTTGTTTAAGAGATATGTGCTACCATGTGCTATGAGGTTATACAGCAACCATAAAAAGTTATGTTAGTACTTTTGCTGTTTCAGGATAAGAGGGTTGGAGAGGAAAGAAATAAGCATAAATTTCTGGAAACTCACTTGTAGTGACACTAAGCAGTGTTTGTTGTATGGAAGGGCTCCCTTGGAAGGGACAGGCATGCACAGCATCAGTACAATAGTGGACATGTCTTATCATGGGCCAGCTCTTCCGCTGTGTTGTGCTGGAGTGATATAGGGAAAGTAATTATGTTCAGCAATGACCACTGGAATTTGAGATTCCTCCTCAAAGGGAATAAAATTTAAATGTATTTTATTCTTTCTTCTCTCTGTTAGTTATTGCAAATAACAGGGGGACAAGCATAGAGCATTTAGAATGTTTAGGAAAGTGTCCTGTGAAAAATTCTTCCTCAAACAGGGCAAAAAGAACAAGGTATCAACCAGCAAGCAGACATGGATGGCAACAAACACCTTGTCTAAAGCTGCTTTCCTGCTGACTGTGTTGAGTGAGCGTCTGGAGTACCACAACCTGGCCTTCCAAATAGGAATGTTTGCTCTGGAGCTGCAGAGACCACCTGCTTCTACAAAGGCTCTGGAGGTATGAAATATCTCAGAAAGGCAGTATCCATAAACAGCATTGTTCTGCTGAAATGCATTTGCTCACATGGTTCACATTTCTCCTAAAGCTTGGTTATGCTTTTATATGTTTCCTTAAAATTGATTGCAGTGGGACTAAATGAATTGGTTGCACATCCCATTAGCACATGTTGATCTGCCAGAAAAATGATTGGAAACATCACTTCATCTGTTGTTACCTTCATTGATAGGAAGCTTAGACCCTTGATTTCACGTGAAGCTATAGGCCTGAAAATATTTAAATGAGTACAAAATCTTTTATGAATATATTATTCTGATTAGAACAGTTTACTTCTTATCTTAAATATGTTCCCAGTTTGCTTCACTTATCTGGGGAAATGAAAACCATCTCTAAATACCCGTATTTGTCCATATTTGTGTTAGTGACATGGTTTGAAACTTATTCCCTAGGGTGAATTGGTGTGATTGTTACATGTTTGAAAATTGTTCCTCTTGCTGATATCTCATGCAAGTGAGGATATGCACTGTTGAAGCATATTATTTTGGACACTCCTTGATGGCTATTAAGATTCCCATTTAGAAAAATGAAGTGTCCGGATAAGACCTTAGTGTGATTTACTAAGTCTGTGTGATTTACAGCCACCTTGCTTTTCACTGCAATGTTGTTCAGTCCCTCAAGGTGTGTATTGTTGCTAGATATCCACCAACTACACTTGTTGCACTAATTATCTGTACTTCTTAAGGTCTGATCAGAAGATTGTGAGATTGACAGTCACTTGCTACCTAAAAGGAAACAATTACTTTCACATGCTAAGAATGGAGAGAATACAGGAACAAAGTAGTGAAATGTCCTCATCCTGATGGCATGTGTGCTGCCACCATGTGCCCCTTCTGCTGATCAGTCTCTGTTGTCTCCAACTGGTATATCACTTGACATAGCATCCTTTCTTCCACTGACTTGTCCAGTCAGGCGCTTCTGCTGATGTTCTTAGGAAAGCTGATACCTTTTTCCTGTATACAACTGATTGATAATTAGAGCAAAAAAGTTTGTGTATAAATATGAGGCAAGACTGTTATTAGATTTGAAAACCTGTTTTCACTGCGGAGAGAATGGTAAATATTGCTAAACTGCTAAGAGTTGCTATAATTTAATAATCCAATAAAAACAATTGCTGTACTTTATGTATAGGGAGAAATGGTCAGCTGCCCACAGGGCCTATGCTGTTGACAGCTTCTTCTTTTTCCTTGTGGATACTACCAGGTGAAGCTGGCTTATCAGGAATCTGAGATTGCAGCCCTCTTGAAAAAGATTCCCTTGGGCACCAATGAGATGAACACTATTCGAGGAAGAGCTGAAGAACTGCGAGAAGGGACATTATGTGATTACCGTCCTGTCCTGCCTCTGATGTTGGCAAGCTTTATATTTGATGTCCTGTGCACTCCAGGTACTGACTGCCTTGGCCTCAGTGTGTGCAGGGCATATTCTGAGATGCTAGGTCTTGAGGAATTTTCAAAGAGAAAACTGTCTTTTGTATATATATTCTTTGCTTGTGCTTCCCTCCATGTTGCTTTAGAAGTACTTTGTTCCCCAGTGGAACTGTTTCTGCTTCTGCTTACATTTGAAAACAACTGGACACTTACCACATTTCAGCACTCTGTGTGTGTTTGTAAAATAGTTATAAATGACTGACTGTGCTGCTCTTATGCTGTTTATAGTAAGAAGAAACTAGTACAAATCCTAGTATTTAAAAAAGAACACGACAACCTGGAATTAGAAGACTGACTTGACAATATGCCTGCCTGGTTTGGAGCCTTCTGAGGTTAGAGAGAAATGGAAAAAAAAAAAAACCATAAGGTTCTGTGATCTTGAAATTGATACAAGGCTAGGAATAGGACCAGAGGAAGGTCTGCAAATTCAGAAAGCTCTCAGAAATGTCTTTTGCTTTGAGGTCTTAGGTTTGGAAGCTGAATACTATATTGTCTTCTTTCAGTGGTTTCTCCTACCGGCTCTAGACCCCCAAGCCGTAATTGGAATAATGAAATGCCTGGAGATGAAGAGCTTGGTTTTGAGGCAGCTGTTGCTGCTCTTGGTAAGAACCTTTTACAAGAAAAGTCTATCTTCATCCATGTTCTTCATCCTGCACCATTTTGATGGTGAGAGTTAGTAGTTCATTCCGGTTTGGTGCAGAAATGAAAGTGTTTGCACAGTTTGCCAGAACCAGATGCAGAAGGATTCTACATGCCAGGGCTGAGGTGTCTTTGCAAAGCTGTGAAAAATGGAAGGGGAATATGGGATGAGAACCGAATGTTAAAGTAGTAACATGAATTTTAGCTTTCTGCTTGCTCTTTTGCCATGGAATGTGTATTGCCTGGACTTTAATGAAGATGGACCGTTTTAGAAAACAAAAGGCAATTGTTTCAAAAGAGGTTAGTCTTAGTGAAAGACTAACTAAGCAGAAGTGCTTTCAAACATTATCATATAATTCAGGATTGCAGCATGGTAGTGTATTCTTGGTTCACTTATCAGCTTCAACAACGAAGCAGTGATTATATATATATATATATATATATATGTTATGTTGACACCACTGTATACCTGTTCTAAAGCAGTATGCAAAAAGGAATACAATGGATTAAACAAGACCTGTTCTCTGTTGCCTCATCTTGGAAAGGAGGAAAATGAGTTATTTACGGTGTGGGAATGCTGGCTTGTAGCATCTGCAGAAACCAGAAAGGTTGCTTCAAGATAGGGTTAAGGCTTGCCTGGACTCTTCCTGTGGCGTATTAGTATCCAGTTGTTCTGACAGTTGTAGCAGACGGCAGCTCCTGTTTATTCAGGACCTGTTTCTGAAGTTAACAGAAAAATAGGGGGGAAAAAGTGTTCTTTTGCCTGTAACAGTGAGGTGAATAAATTAGTCTGAGGAATAGATAGTGCTCAGGATGTAGTGTAGTCCCATGGGCTCACTTGTCTCTTCATCCCCTCTTTTCTGGCCTGCAGGTATGAAAACAACTGTCAGCGAAGCGGAACATCCTCTGTTGTGTGAAGGCACGCGAAGGGAGAAAGGGGATCTGGCACTCGCCCTGATGATCACTTACAAGGATGATCAGTCTAAGCTGAAGAAGGTGAGTTTCCCTTTGAAAGGGGAGAGAGAGATGGAAAGCAGACTATGTTTGGGTTTTGATGGATTTAATGGTTTAGCCAGTGAGCATAAGTTGCTGTGTCACGTACTGATGTTTTTTACAGGCTATACTGTGGTGTTTATATTCTTTCACTGATGCAAAATCTGATTGTGCAGTATGCATTGCCCTGGAGAGGTACTCTTTCCATAGTTTTCTTAAGGTCCAGTCAGGAGATGTGTTGTCACTGCTTTTATTGCTTTTGTTTACCTACTAAAACAAGTCCTTTCCCAAGGGTTTTCAGTGTGCAGTCTGCGTGTGGTCTGGGGATTGCTTATGTTTTGCTGCAGGGATATTGGCTTCCAGAACAGTATGATCTAGCAAAGCCTCTGTTTCTTAACCTCTCGCCTCTTTCATACATTATTTCAGTATACCTGTGTCTTAATTTCTCATCCAAAGGAGAGGGTAAAACTCTACTCTTCCACCCCAAAGGAGGAAAAAAATATTGAAAACTGCTGATGCTTCAGAAATGGTTTTATTAATCTTTTACGTTCAAAAATTCTTCTACATAGCACGAAGTATGTTATTAGTGTCTTTCTGTCTCCTAAAGGAGAACACTTCTGCTATACTCTTATCTGGGGAATAACAGGGACACTGTGATATCAATCATCTGCAACTAAATGCTTTGTCAGATTTGTGGTATTCATTTCATGTGGAAAATGAAGAGTAGAAATGGACAAACCTGTAAAATGTGGTCACACATTGTTCCCCAATTACATAATAAATTAAGACAAGAAAATGTTACTGCAGGCCATAGAAGGCAATTTCTCTCCTGGCTTTGCCAGTTTATCTGTAGTGTATGACAGGATTTTCTGAATGGTAAGCACAGAATTTTTGTGATTTTAACAAGAGCATCTGATGACTGGCAGAACTAAATTTAGAGTGCTCCATTCTGTCCCTGATGTACCAGAATTACTTCATTTTTGTGAGTTTTAGGTACTTTTCAAGTAAAGGCAGTGGTTGTTTCAAGAGAAAATGGAAATATTACTGAGTACAAATGAATCTTTGCTTCCTCATGTAATGCAGATCCCATGGCTCTGAACTGTGCATTGCTGATCTTTGGTACAGGAAGATGATGCCTACCTTCTAGAGAATAAGCGTTTTTGTTCTTTCCCTCCAACAAATGGAATTTATTGTCCACCAGAAAGTTGATTTGGTACTTTTCCTCTTAGCCTTCTGCTGAGTGCCTTTTGGTTTTTCCCTTGTTAAAGATTTTAGACAAACTCCTGGACAGAGAGAGTCAAACTCACAAACCACAGACGCTGAGTTCCTTCTACTCATCCAGCAAGCCTACAGTTGCAAATCAAAAATCTCCTTCCAAACATGCTGCCCAGTCCACTGCAGCTATCCAACAGCTTCCAGGGACTTCTGTCACTCAGCAAGCTGCTGTAAGCACTGCAGTCCAGAGCAGTCCTGAGAACTTCGTGGAGAAGAGTGCACAGGGTAAGAAGTGCTTTGTAAGGGCTATGCTAAAACCTTTCTGTTGTAGCATAGTGAAGTAATCAGAGTGATTATATTACCATCTGGCTCCTTGGTGGTTACTATAATGTCACTCTGCCATTATCTGTTTGGCTCTATCCATTTCTATACACATTCTTGTTGCAAAAAAATTCAAGCTAGTTTTCAGGTTGTCCTGTCTTGAGATAGTTGTATAACCAGTTAACATAAATCTACTGTGCCTCTGTCTTTTAGATTTGTATCACAGAAGTGTAGGATTTCAAAAAGTTACACACTGAGTCAGGTGCCTTCATGCAAGATAGATAAGAAAGATTACTGAAGGTCATTAGAGATACATGTGTGTGGTTTAACCCCAGCCAGCTTGGTTTAAACAAGCACCATGAAGCTGTTTGCTTACTCACCCCTGGATAGGATGGAGGAGTGAACTGGAAGACTAAAAGTGAGAGAACTCATGGGTTGTAAAAAACAAGCAAAAACTGTGCACACAAATAAAGCAAAACAAGGAATTAATTGATTGCTTCCCAGGAGCAGACATGTGTTCAGTCATCCCCAGCAAAGCAAGGTTCCATCACTCTTAATGGTTACTTGGGAAGACAAATGATATAACTCCAAATTCCCCCCTTTTTTCTTCTTCCTCCAGCTTTATATGCTGAGCATGGCATCATATAATATGGAATATCCCTTTGGTCAGTCAAGGTCAGTTGTCACAGCTGTGTCATCTCCCAACTTTTCTGCATCCCAAGCCCACTCACTGGTGGGGTGGTATGAGGAGCAGAAAAGGCCCAGACTTTGTGTAAGCTCAGCAATAACTAAAACATGCCTGAATTATCAACACTGCTTCCAGCACAAATTAAAAACACAGCTCAACACTAGCTGCTCTGAGGAGAATTAACTCTACTCTAGCCAGAACCAGCACAATGTGGTTCGTTTCAAGCTGTGCTTCCACATTGGTGGCAGACATCACATACAGCAGCATTTGGTGGAATGTAAGTGCTCTATTAACTATTTCCAAAGAGATGGATACTAGCTGAGGATGACTGCAATAATAATAAAATTTTCCATAGTTGCAGCATATTTTCCAAATCTTGAGTTAAATGTTCTGGCCTGGTGTCAGATGATGTGCTTAATACTGAAAGAAAACTGAAATAATCCTGCTCATAAATACCATTTATTTTATGAAAATCACGCGTCTTTTGATATTTATGTCTTCTAAATGGCTATGACTGATTTTAGAGATACATAAACAAATTATAACATTTACCTTGTCACTGTCCTATTCATGCAGAAAGCTCTCAGAGGTCCCCCTGTGAGCCAGCTGCAGAGGCCACTGTTTTGAAACAAGAAGGAAAGGTCCCCAGTCGTCTGGCCCTTGGAAACCGAGGTGGATACAATGGGAGATGCTGGGGTTCACCTGTCAGGCAAAAGAAGAAACACACAGGTAGGAATGGACTAGCTCACACAGCATCTGGTACTCTGCTAGGCAGTCTGCTGGAGTTTACCCCTTGTTCTTTCGTTCACACAAGAAAGCCGGAGAGGGACTTTCTACAAGGGCACGTAGTGTTATGACAAAGGGTAATGGCTTCAAACTGAAAGAGGAGAGATTTAAATCAGATATTAGGAAGAAATTCTTCACTGTGAGGCTCTGGAACAGGTTGCCTGGAGAAGTAGTGAATACCCCATCCCAGGAGTGTTCAAGGCCAGGCTGGATGGGGGGGTCTAGTGGAAGGTGTCCCTGCCCAGAGCAGGGAGATTTGCACTGGATGATGTTTGAGATCCCTTCCAAACCAAACCATTTTATGATTCTGTGATTCCACTTGTCAGCCTTTCCTGTACAACAGAAGGTGTCTCTGAGGTGTTTGACATGGAAAAATAAGATTTGCTCCACAGATTTCCTGCCCCCTTCTATATGGCAAGTTACCATACCTTTCTCGCACCAGTTACGTTCTGCGTGATGGATTAGATACCTGGAGCTGATTGATTGCTGGACTCTGGGAGTGGAGTACGGTGCTCCTGAATCCAGAAACAAATTCAGAGAAGCTACTGCTTCTCTACACTTCTCTTGAAAAGGGTGTAAGTTAGGGACTGAGGATGTGAAGATTGCACAGCATATACCAGAAGGGTTTTCTTCATACTCATACAATCCGTGGAACTTGACTTTGTATGTGTATTTGCTTCTTGTTGTTACACTCTGCTACAAAGCTTGGCAGATGGAGTGAGGTGGTGTGGTGGTGTGAAGGGGGAAATAAAGATATATTATTCTTAGACTCTTCTGAATTTTAATCCAAGAAGTACAAAATCACACTGATGTCTGTGGCCAAACTGATTTAATTTAATCTCTTAATTTACTGTTAATGCCTGGCAGCCATAAATTGTGTAAAAACACAACTGATCTTAGTTGGTTCTGCAGGTGATGTGGTTAGGGGTTTGCCTACCTGCATTCCATTTACCAACCCTGGTGACATTTGTGCCGGTTCTGGTGTTGTAGGCATGGCTAGTATTGACAGCAGTGCTCCTGAAACCACCTCTGACAGTTCTCCAACGCTCAGTCGGCGTCCCCTGCGTGGAGGATGGGCAACAACATCCTGGGGCAGAGGACAGGACAGCGACAGCATCAGCAGTTCTTCAAGTGATTCGCTGGGATCCTCCTCTTCCAGTGGCAGTAGGAGAGCCAGTGGGGGAGCCCGTGCAAAGACCGTGGAAGTTGGCAGGTAATGAATAATAGCAATGCACAGAGGCAACCTCGAGGCCTGATCTCAGGGAGCTAGCATGTGTGCATCAGGAAGTATTTTATTGGGAAAATTTGCTTTGTTTCCTCTGGACCCTAAAGACAGGAACTCTGCACTCCAGCTAGCAAACTTGGGATATTTGTTGTCTGAAAGATTCCTCTGTCTTTCTTCTAGGTATAAAGGGAGGCGTCTGGAGAGCCACGCTCCTCATGTCCCAAACCAGCCCTCAGAGGCAGCTGCTCACTTCTATTTTGAATTGGCCAAGACAGTCCTTATCAAAGCAGGTGGAAACAGCAGTACCTCTATCTTCACCCACCCTTCCTCCAGCGGTGGGCACCAGGGACCACACCGCAACCTTCACCTCTGCGCCTTTGAGATCGGGCTGTATGCACTAGGGCTGCACAACTTCGTGTCTCCCAACTGGCTCTCTCGAACTTACTCCTCCCATGTCTCTTGGATCACAGGTTACAGCAAAACTTTACTGGGAAGCTTACTTTTGGGCAGGAAGGGGGGCAGGGAGACAAGCCCTGAAACAAGGGCAGGGAGACAAGTCCTGAAAATGGTGATGCTGATGTGCTGTAGCAGCTTGCGTAAGCAGCTCGCGCAGCTGGCGATAGGAGCTGAGCCCCAGTGATTTACACAGTGGTGCTTGCTTTGGCCTGGAAGGTTCTTGTGACCCCTTGCTTCGTGTTTGTACTGCATAACGCCCACTTCTCACACAGGGACTGGTCTTCACCTTCAGGGGTATGCTGAAGAGACAGAACATGCTCTTTGGCTGTGTTCAGCGTTTCACTTTCCTCCTCCTTCTGTCTGCACCCAAACGTACTACCTATCCATATGGCTTCTAGGAGCCTGAAAGACACACCCTTGAAAATTCATGTTTTCTTGACGTGATGGAAATAGACTGACAGTCCAGACTGGTTTGTGGGTACTAAAATCAGCTATAGCAAGTTCCTTTCACTATTTCAAATACATCTTAAGCTTAACTTTGAAAACCGTATTCTCACTCACCACTTGTTTATTGAGGGCTCTTGTCTGTCATGTGTTTTGGGAGAAAGCGCCTAAATTTGACTTGAAGCCTAAGGGAAGCAGCTGGGCTCTGTTGCTGCTCCTGAGGGAAGTGAGGAGTGCACCTGCTGTTGAGGGAAAGCTGACTGTAACTGTGCTGGGCATACAGTGGTATGAGAGTCTTCTCTCTTCCTCTTAGGGCAGGCCATGGAGATTGGTAGTGCCGCCTTGAACATCTTGGTCGAGTGTTGGGATGGACATCTGACTCCCCCAGAAGTGGCATCATTGGCAGACAGAGCTTCACGGGCCAGAGACTCCAACATGGTGCGGGCGGCTGCTGAACTGGCGCTCAGCTGCCTGCCTCATGCCCATGCCCTGAACCCAAATGAGATCCAGAGGGCTCTGGTGCAGTGTAAGGAACAGGTGAGCATCATGTGGCAGCTGGCTAGTGCAGCTGATTTCTAGCATCAAGGATGTGCTGCTGTTACAGCAGATTGGCTCCTTACTACTGCACAGCCTGAATCCCAGTTCTTTGTGTTTCTTATGTTTCATGAATAACACTGGTTATTCTGCTGCATAGCAGCAGAATAGCATCTGTTTGGTCGTTTTAGAGTGCCTGATACTTTTCTCCTGTTGTAATTTTTCCTTCTTGTGTTTCTGGTTTTACATTCTTAACTTCTGCTTTTGTTTCACTACTCCCAGGACAACCTGATGCTGGAAAAGGCCTGCATGGCAGTAGAAGAGGCAGCCAAAGGAGGTGGTGTGTACCCGGAAGTCCTGTTTGAAGTAGCTCATCAGTGGTACTGGCTTTACGAACAGACTGTTGGCGGGACCCCAGCCCAGAGAGAAGGTGCCACTGGCTGCAGTGCCAGCGGAGCACGGGCCACATCTGAAGCAGCACGTGGATTGACGGACAACCGGGTGACCTCGGAGCCGACCACTGTGACAGTGGCAGCTGCAGTAACTGCGGCAGCAACAGTCATGCCAGTGATCTCTGTGGGGTCGACCATGTACCAGCAGCACACAGTGGCAGGGCCGGCAATGGCACATACACACACACAGGGTCTCCACCCTTACACCACCCTTCAGACTCACATCCCCTGTAATCCCCAATATATTGGACACACTATCCAGCACGTGCCACGCCCAGCTGTCTTCCCGGTCCCTGGCTCAGCATACCCACAGGTGAGTTTTGACTGTGCCCTATTCATTTACTGTGACCTTATTGGCTGCTTCAGAGGGAGTAAGTCAGACTGGGAAGAGCATGGGGCTCAGACCTACCATGACTTGAGATCTAGCTTCTGCTCTCACTTGCCAATTGGTGGTACTTACTTTGGCCTCCCAGCTCAGATATGCAGCCTTCTGTGGCTGCATTTAAAGTCTCAAGAGAATATAAAATATAATACATCAGTAGTTTTTAATTTCTATTGCTCTATAGTTTCTTAGAAGGCACTGGACAGAAACCTTGTTTTCTTGATAGCTTGCAGGTAAATGGAGACTACAGAGGGAAAACCAAATAAAGGTTATTTTAACCTTTGCCTATTTTTGAAGATCTTAGAGTGGTTTTCTGCAAACTGATTGGATTTTTAATGGGAGGAGGAGCAAGCAGATGTAATGCTTATATGGTGCAAGGTTCTTCCTGTGCTTCCTTTCCCTTGTCAGACCGGACTTTCCATGCTCTGGGGTTTGCATGGGGACACCGTGTTTTTAACAATTTCTAGACTTTTAGGCAAAGTGGACATGACTGTTACTTACCTTCTGTTTTAGGGTGTCCATCCAGCATTCATAGGAGCGCAGTACCCTTATTCTGTAACAACACCATCGCTGGCAGCTACAGCAGTGTCCTTCCCTGGTGTGCCCGTCCCATCCATGACGCAGATTGCCGTGCATCCCTATCACAGTGAGACCGGACTGTCGCTGTCTTCCAATGTAGCGAGTAAGTGTTACAGCTCTGGGCTGTGTGTAGCACAGGTTTATTAACTGTCTTGGGGCTGTACCCCAGTTAAGTCCTGTTCCTCACTGATTGCAGGTGGAACGAGGGCTATTGCTCTGAAGAGTTCTGGCCAAATTCACTCTGTTCTAAAGATGTGCATGCTCAGGGGTACTGGGATTCATAAGGGGGCCCGATTCAGCTAGCAGAGATTTCTTTCTGTTTAGCTTAATTTCCAGTATAAGACTGTTTTGGCCTTTAGTCTAAAGCATGTTTGGGGCCCTCCTGGCCTTTCTAACTTCTAAGAGCCTAATTCTCCCTTTTCTTTGGGCAAGGTGAGCACAGATGATCATGAGTAGGCTCTTGTGATTCCTTTGGGTCAGGTGGATAGAGTGCAGGAAGCAGGGAGCAGGCAGACTTCCGCTACAGAAGCACTAATAAATGTCTTTTCCTGCCTGACGGATTGGAGGCAGCCAGTACCCAAAATGTGGAACTTGTGTAGAGAGGACAGATGTTTTGGCAGAGTCATGGCAATGGCAATGGGAATGATTGCTCTCGTGTTGTGTTAGGGCTTCAGTGGTGGTGAAGATCCATCAAGTAGTGTGTAACACTGGAATAGCAGATGTTGACTGAATTGTGGACATGCTGTCATTGCCATGGGGTTTTCCGCCAGTTGGTCATGGCTGTCCCAGTCTTTATCCCCTCACTGGAGAGGCTGTAATGTTTGCCTATTTGTACAGTGTTTTGCAACTCACCAGGTGTTGGAAGACTAGTATGTGGAAAAACACTGAAGAGCTGTGTTGGCTTCCTTCATATTCAGAGTATCAGGAGAATCTTTTCAGTTATTTTATCTTGTATTTTGATGCCAAAAAGCCACCACAAAAGCAAACAGAGTAGCCCTAAAGGCCTTAAGATCTAACAGCTGACAACCTTAGTTCTGAGCTGATTCTGTGACTCTTAATTGTGAGAAACCATTTCTGTACTCCTCCAAAGAGTTATGAACCTTCGAGAAAGTGGTAATTCATCCTAGAACACTTAAAATAATAAAAGGAAAAAATAACCCCACCCTTTCCAGTTGCCATTGTTTATGGCTTGCATAAACTTCTGTTTTCAGTTCTTAGAATACTGTTTCACTGTTCCTGGCGTATGTAGTCATGTGGTGATACTTGAGCTCTGGCAATAGTTCATCTCATTCTTGTGGGTTACCCTCCCTGGCCAGGCTTCAAACGCAGCATGAATTTTGCCCCACTTTGTGGGTTGCTTGGCACTGTGTGTCTCCTTAGTCGAGGAGGTCAGATAGATCTTTCCTGGGAGGCACATTGTTCTCAGGTATTCAAACATTCACTGGTAAAGGTGGAGGGAAAAAAAAAAAGGAATTTGGAGCATTGCTCAAGCTGGTGTAGCACCACAATGAAGCCGTGAAGTAAGGGTAACAACGCGCACACATCTAATGGCATGTCTGCTCTGGAGTTCTCAAGCAAACCTTGCTTTTTGCTCTCTGTACCTTTCTTGAGAAGGGACAGTTAGATAAACTTGAGCCTGTTGTCAGAGTACAGCTTACTGGCTCAGTGTTAACTGCCGTCAGTACAAGTTTAGGTGGTACAATGCAATGGATTTGCACTTGAAACCTGTGATTTCCCTTGATTTTGCTCATACTAGCTAAGTGTCTGAAGGCAACAGCTTCTCGAGTCTCCTTGCTGTTATTACTGTTGATACATGCTGCCAGTTTATGCAGTGGCTGTTCTTTCCAAGAATGGATTGGAGGTCAGCCTCCAGTAACGCTCTTCCTGCATGGTAACTGAATGGAGTGACAGCTGTCTTACAGCAAAAGTGGAAGAACCTTGCATTGTTGGACTTGATCTTTGAGTGACTTAATACTGCTCCTGCTCAGTAATTTTCCTCAGCAGTTTCTCATCAGGTGTAGACATACAAGTGCTCGTTTCCTGGGACAAGAAAGCAGAACCAAACATTTCATTTAATAATAGCAAAGACCTTTGAGTCAACACATGTGTTTACATGTAAAACACAGATGTTGTGCATGTTTGTGAGATACTGCAGAAGAGGTGGACACGCATGTAACTGACCCCTTCAGGCCCAGCTTGCAATCAAAAGAGAGATATTCCTGGCCCGTGGTATTTCAGTTTTAAGTCTGTGGGTTTCGATTGCTGTATTGTTCTGTTTAGGGGAACAGAACACTACACTGGCAGGGGGTGGTCACGTGAAGGAGATGATGTCCCATGTAAACTTTCTTTTAGGCTGGTGGTGGGTCCTAATGCTGCTGTTTTGCTCTCTTCAGTAGGCAGTGTCCATGCAGGATCAACGTTCCCAGCGATTCAGGGGGCTTCCTTGACACCTCTGTCCTCACAGCCCAACTCCCTTGTTACAGGGGGTTTTCCTGCCGAGGATGAGCAGCACAGTCAGCCTGTGAGCCCCCAGGGTCTGCACTACCTCCACTCCGCATACCGAGTTGGTAAGGATGGCCAAGTGGGTTTCTACAGCCTCCTCGAGAGGGGTTCAGGGCAGGGCTGCAGGTTTTCACTGTCATTTGGCAATTTGCTACTGTTGGGAGTGATGGTGTCTTAGGGTCATGGGAAAAGCAAGTTGATGTTCGTATGTGGAGGCTAAAATTAAGGTAAAGCATTAGAAGATTGAACAATTGCTTTTCAGGACCATCAGAGCAGAAGAGAAAGCTGAGTGGGTTAGAGCTGGGAAGAGTCTTGCCTTTCAGCAGATGTACGTAAAGGAGTCTGGATAGGGCTCTGAGGATGTGACTGTGCAAGCTGTGACTATATGAAAAAATGGTATTTGGCTCCTGCTGCTCATGGATGGTGAAGGTACACCTCTAGTTTAATACCAGATGAGTTTTCAGAGGCACAGAGGGGTGTGCCCTGTGCCTTTCCAGTTAGGTTGTTGAAGAGAGATGCAGAGGGAACTTACATTTTGTGAAGTGTGGGTGTGTAATTAGCATTCCTTTCCCAGTCATACTGGTTATGAGGAGATAGTCTGTGCCTGAACTGCCATTGTTACAAGGGTATCAGTCTTAGGGTTTGTGAGTGAGCTTAGATTTCAGTAAGCTACTGTTGTAGTAGGTAGTAAACTACTTGTACGTAGTTGTGGTCCAACCCAGTGGATGCCTGGGGAAGGAGAAGGGAGCCTCTAAGATGAACAAAGCCAGCAAAGAAAGAAAAACGGCAAGAAAAGGGAAGGAAAGCTGTCCGAAGATTGCTTGAGTTTTTTTGTTGAAAGCTAGAGCAGAAAGTACTTGTTAGCTAGAAAGAGATGCAGTTGTCATTGAAAAGATCACAGTGGTAAGTGGTAAGCCATGAAGGGCGTTTAATAGCCTGAATAACAGAGAGGCACAGGCGCAGAAGAAGGTCTGGAAGATCAAGACACGGCACATGTTGGTATTTGAGAACTGTTTAAATGGAAGGATTTGCCCGAAGAACTGTAATGGCGTAGGTGAAATGTTTGCGGATTGGCAGTACTGCAGCTCAGTGTTGGCCTGTTGTCTTTGCAGCAGAGCAGGTTGGTTTGGGTAGCTTCTCTGTTGCAAAATTTAGATCAAAAGCATGCTTTCAGGACACCTCTTGTGGTGCAGCTTTTGGGGCTGTCTGCTTGACACTGTGGTAGGTGCTTGTGGAGTGCCTCACTGCAGCTCTAGTTAGGGGCGATGGCTGGGCAGGTTTCCCAGCCTGAAGCAGCAGATCCAGATGTTCTTGCGGATAGTTTCTGTGCTGGCAGGCTCCAAGAGGAACCTTTTGTTTCTGTCTGGACTCTTTGCAGCAATGGAATTTTCTGTTGCTGAAGGGCAGGCCTTCAGATTGTGTTGCAGTGAGTCAAATGCTGGACTAAGTCTTACTGGGCAGAAGTGCTGCTTGACTGTGGCTGCCCCTTTCTCACAGGGATGCTGGCTCTGGAGATGCTTGGCCGAAGAGCTCACAACGACCATCCCAACAACTTCTCCCGCAGCCCACCCTACACAGAGGATGTAAAATGGCTCCTTGGGTTAGCTGCAAAGTTAGGTAAGGCTCGGAGCAGTACTTCAACAGAAATTCACTTGCTGGCATTTGGACCATGGTGGGAAAAAGCTCTCAAAGGAGTGAAACTTCAAAAATTGGGTGAGCCTGATGTCGATCCCGTTCCTGAGAGTGTTTCAGAAGATCCCTACTGTTCTTTCATCCAGCCATTTTTCCAGTTTCTGGGTTCTGTGGGCATGCTGTTCAGTTTTGAGGCACTGGATGAAGTACATGAGATTGGATAGGGTTCAGAGCGTGTCTCTCTTCCATTCTTTAACAGTAATTCTTTCTTTTCTCTTTCCACTATCTTGTAGGTATTCCTTTTTCTTATGTACATTTGTACCTTCTGTAAAGAACCTTTTATAGTAATAGGTGCTCAAACCACCAATTGTTTAGGGGGTTTTTATTTTTTTGTTTTGTTTTGTTTTTACTTCTATTTTGCTCTTGGATCTTTTTTGTCAGCTCATTTTTTTAGTTCTTTCATAAGCAGTAAGAACTGAAAAAACCAACCACCCTTACAAACAGCCTGTCTGGTGGCACAGCTTCTACTGCTCCTGCTGGCAAAGCTCCACTGTAGGAAGCAGTGTCTACAGCCTCCTTAAGACCTGAGTGCTGGGACATCTAGGTGCTTCCTGGATGGGCAGGCAGAAAACAATGGAGAAGGTGCAATGTCTCTCTAGTTACCTTGCCACATCAGTTTTCTTTCATATCCTCCTTAAAGACAGGTGAACTTTGAAATACCAGTGACTGAGGTGGTACCTGGTTTCTCCTCAGACCTGATGGATAAATCAGAATGTTCTCTTGTCCCTGTGAGTGTGCTAGCCTGTCTCCCCCAAGCCTGGTGGAGGATGCATTACACTGAGAAGAAGGTGCTCCAGATCCAGGTTCTTGCTGGGAAGTATGTGATTTCTTGTGTGTCTCTCATTCTAACACTGTTGTTCTGACTTCTCCTTCCTGTGCAGGTGTAAACTACGTGCATCAGTTTTGCGTTGGTGCAGCCAAGGGGGTGCTGAGCCCTTTCGTGCTCCAGGAGATCATCATGGAAGCTCTACAGAGGCTCAACCCTGCCCATGTGCACAACCACCTGCGCACCCCAGCCTTCCACCAGCTGGTGCAGAGGTGCCAACAGGCCTATTTGCAGGTAAACTGTGGCCTGTCTTCCTGCCTGTCAAAGCTGCCAGGCCATTACCTACCTTGCAGGTACTGGCCTATGTATGCATGTGCAGAGGAGAAGGGGCCTTGGGTACTGGTAGCTGAACTGGTCCATTGCCTGATGCATCCCTCTCCCTCACCAGGGACTAGAATAGGTATCACTTGCCTGTATGGAGGCTGCATACAGAGGAACTCATTGTACTGCTTCTTCCAAGGCCTCTTGCCTCCTGTGCTCTCCATGAAGGCTGGGGTGGTTCTGTGTCTTCCTCACTCCAAATGCTACCCCTGCTTTTAAACTTTCTGAACTTTCTTTGCTATGTTTTCAAGTCCCCCTGTCCACTCAGTGTAAGCCTTACTCCGTAAACCCACTTACTCCGTAAGCCTTAGCAAAGCAGATGTCTCGTGAGCAGGCTGGGTCCCCATGTGTAACCTGCAGAATGAGAAGTGTGAGGGTTAGATGCTGGTGGTGTGGAGCATTACCTGACCCTTTAGCACTGTACTATGGCCCAGTTCAGTGCTCATGAAGGGGAGAGCACCTGCTGATGCCTTGTGCTGCATTTTGGTGCTCTGAGGGAGCACTGGCCTTGGCTGTATTGGGGGGCATAGGATACAGCACTGCTGGCTTTTGAGATAGTTCTCCTCTGCCAGAGCCACTGAGTCTCGGGACTCCTGGTGAGTAACAGGATCATGTGACATATTGCCCTGGGAGCTTGAGTCCTCTGAGTGTCACCAGCATGAGAGTGGTGAGCAAATACCTTAAGGCTCTTTCCCTGTTCCCATCCAGTACATCCATCATCGGGCGATCCATCTCACTCCAGCTGACTACGATGACTTTGTGAATGCCATCCGCAGCGCCAGAAGCGCCTTCTGCCTGACTCCTATGGGCATGATGCAGTTTAATGATATTATCCAGAACCTAAAGCGCAGCAAGCAGACGAAGGACCTGTGGCAAAGAGTCTCTCTGGAAATGACCACCTTCTCACCGTGACATCAGGCGGAGCTCCACGGACACACAACCCTTTGCCCAACATAGTTGTAGTTCCATTTACACCATCCTTCCTTCTGGTGTCTTTTTTATTTTAGTTTTAACTTGTTGGAAACCACTGATCTGATGTATTTATACCATGACATTCCTCTCCAGCACTGTTGCGTGTTGGCGCTCTGCTTTGCTCGCTCTTCCTCCTCCTTTTCAGTGGGCTGCAGGCTTCAGAAGCATCAGGAAATGAGAAGGAAGTTGAGCTGGCTGCCCTGTGGTGTAGTCACTGCTTTTTTCCCTGAGCCCCAGGAGGCTGTCCTGCGAGCAGTTTGCAGTGTGATTGCGCACATGTTAGAGGGGTTGGGGATTCTGTCTTAAATATTTATTTTGGCATTTATAAATATGTAAACTTTTTTTTTTGTATGGGCTTCTCTTACTCCACACACCATCTCCTGTTGGGAGTGGCTGGGACTGCTGTGCACAGTGAGTGCTTCCTCCATCCCTTTCAGCAACTCCTGCTGAGAGAAGCTGAGGCTGGAGTAGCAGGGCCAGGGCCACCTCGGCAGCTTTCTGCAGCAGCAGCTGAGGGCAGAGGCTGGAGCTTGGGCAGTCAGTCCATGACTGCGCTGAGCTGCCTGGAGACTGCCAGAAGTGCTTGGGCTCTTTCTCAGGAGTGTCCCTCACTGGGCACTGCTGGCTCATAGAATGTTTTGATCCTGGTTGTTACAAATTGTACAATCCTGTTTCTTTTGGCTGGGGTATTACTCTCCTGTAATCAGTTTCTTATCCCTTGTCTCTTCTCGTTTCCTGATTAAACACTCGTTTTCTTAGACTGACTCTCTCTTCTCTCTGCTATGATGTTGACAGTCTGATGGAGCTGGCCAGCTGTGTGCCAATGGGAGCTCTTGTGTGCCCTGGTAGATAGCTGTCTTGCCTTGGGGAACAGCAATCCAGCACAAAGCAGGAGGCCAGAGCTTTTACACAAGCTCTGAGCCGAAGGTTTCTTGCCTGGTAGTTTTCTGAGAACAACGTGCCTCTGCAGAGACTGAGGTATGTGTGGACTGGGTTGTTGATGACTGTCAAGAGAGTTGGTAGTAAGCCTGGGATGTTCTGCCTACAATTCTGTCAGTCACTATGTTCCTTTTCTATTCTTGACACCATTGATGTGTGATAATGCAGAGCTGTGTATTTCCAAAGTATCAAGCAAAACAGCAGCTGCCCCTCCTTGATGTAATTGTTAAAGAAGGCGAGTGGTTTGCTCCCATGTGTTTAGAGAGATACTTGGTGGACTATGAAAGATATCCAATAGGGACAGCATTGCAGAAAATTAAATTTAGAAAGCTGAAGTGTACAAGCACATAAATTTCAGGGCTTTTACAACTGAAAGGCAGATAATCATGGATGTTAAGAAGCCAGTTTCTCAGCAGTAATATATTTTGCTTCTTACTTGGGTTTAGTCAATGACAATCGGAAGGGTTTTGTTTCTGCAAGTTAGAATTATGTGCCTGTTTGTATTTAATATTTTCAGTGATACTCTTAAAAAATAAACAAGGTAACCCCTAAGCACAGGGCAAAACAGATGAACCAGGCTCCTTTGGTTTGACTTTGTGTACTGCACAGGCCAGAGTATTACTGAGGTTCCTCTACTTCTGATTGTACAACAGTAACTATTTATAAAGATCTCCTTACAGCCTCTTGTATTCCTCCATAAAGTGTCTAGCTACATGCTAATTATAAATGCAGATGTTCGTAATAATGTGTTAAGTTTTGTGGGTTTTAAAGTAAAGTCCATGTTGATTATGAGCTTCCTGTGATTGGGCAAAACTTCTGGATTTGACTGGAGAGCACAACCTTATGTCTGGAAGGTTTGGGTTCCTACAACACTTTCTGTGCTCTCTGGTTCTTGCATGTTCAGAACTGCAAAAGGAACTCGAAAAAAGTGAGTTGTCTAATAACGTCTAATCTTTTCCTTTCTACTGCTATAGGAGAAAATCTGTGGAAGAGAAGGGAGCATCTTTTAGAAGGCAGGACGCAGAAGGGAAATGGGCAAAAGAGCTGAACGTTAAGTATCAGGAGCAGAAGTGATTGCAGTAAGGATTTGGACTGAATAGGGAAATGAAATCAGAGCCTTATCTGTGAAATCTGTTAGAAGACTACATTTAGACCCTGAGCAGGCAAGTTTTCAGACTACTGTAATTATAAAACACCAGGAGAATGAGAGCACTATCACCAGTATCTTAGTTTTGGGAAAATACAGTGGAGCTGTTTACTCTGAGGTTAGAATGGACTTTGTCTGGAAGTGTACTTGCTTTCATTCTGTGTAGTTCTCATAAAGACCAAAAGAAATCACAATGCTCATTATCTCTCATTGTGCTCAAAACTTTCTCTCTTTGGTTATTTTACCCACTCTAGTCCTCATACAGATTGCACTGCTTCCATATGAGGGACCCTATCAGGCTTGTCTTCCAGCAGCTGCAGAGCCCAATCAGAGGAAGAGCCAGGGAATGTCACCTCAAGTTGACGTTGGCTGAACAAGCAACTCGGTGGTATGAGTCACGGGTTGGTCATTTCAGAAGTTTCCAATTTTGTCTCTGAAAAAATTCATCAGAGTGAGCAGACAGAGATGGGAACTGTGTGGAGGTGCTGCATTCTCATTTAGGTCTTCCAGAAGACACTTTCAGTTCTGGATCTCTGCATCTGTTAATTTTTTATTCCTGAGCCATGTCCCACAGAAATATTTCTGAGCAAGGACAGGAGAAAGTGAGAAAGGAGATGATGATGCTTTTCCTTGCCATGTGGCTGGGAGGTTATTGAGTTATTTTTCCTTTGTAAGAAATGGGATGAGCCCTGGTGGTCTGTTTAAACAAAAATTATTATCCAGTGCAGTTTTGTTAGTTTGGTCACTGTTCCAGGAGTGGGAAAAAACACAGGCTTAGAAATTCTGAAAAGATGTTTCAGTAGAAGACTTGTAAAAGAGGTTTCAGGCAATTCAAATTTCCTTTGCCTTTCAGTTAACCCATGTTTTTTCACTTTGATCTCTAGGATGTAAGTGATCTCTGTCTAGGACCTTGCCTTGCTAGCAACAGATGAAGTGGCTGCAGTCAAGGCCAGCTGCCACAGCAGCTGGATGCTTCCAGTGTAGAAATGATTTTACATGACTGAGAAGCTTCTTCTGTGCTGGCTACCACCTCTTCCTAGGCTGGGCAGCAAATGCTGAATTTAGTGAGTACTAATAGCTACAGGTATTTGTCTGGATAGGGCCTGGCCCCCAGTTGCATGAAGAGAGATGATGTTCTGTGATGGGAGACCTCGCAATGGGTTATTGTCACGTTTGGTGAAGTCCAATTCACTGTCTGTTCCTAAAGGTAAGATGAGGTCTTTAGACCTTACTTCTTCCCATGTCCTCTGTTCCCAATGACTTGCTTTCATTTGCCATATTTGTTTCCTCTTGTGCCCACAAGAAATACACTTTCCCTCTTAGCTTTTACTGTCTCTGGAAATAACAGCTCACTTCAGTGGGGAGTTGGAGAAGTCAAATTTGTACAGGTGCAGCTGGAACCCACTGAGAAGTGACTGATGTCTTTACTGCAAGATACTGTGGGCTGGTTTTCACTGTCCTGCTAGTGTTGAAGATTGAACTGCTTATTAGCCTTAATTAGGTAGTGTGCTGAGGGCAACCTTGCACTGTGAGTTAACCCCGTGTCTGCACGGAAAGTTTTGTAGGTACTTCAGCTAAACAATCTGCCATGGTGCACAGGTGTGTGCTTTGTGCTCTGTCAAGAATCAACAGAGGCAGATAAAAGCAAATGGTGTTCCAGTGTTAGGATACTTAGAAGGGGTTCCTTAAAAATGGAGAGTCCCTCTGTGTCTCATTTTATGTATATACAGTAGGGACCATACCTCTAAAAATGTAAGGGAGATAGTGTCAGAAGATAAAGGTGAGATACAGTAAGTGAAAGGGCCTTTTTTCCCTGTCCCTTTCCCTAAGGACATTAGTGGGTGGCCATGTAGTGTCATTCCCCTTGTCTTCATGCATTCTTATCCTATATCTGGGACAGCAGCATTTCTAGAACTGTAACTGTTGATCTCTGCATGGTTTCTGAGTCTTTAGGGCTGTCTTGGCATAATAAATCTTGGCATTAGTGTAGTTGGCAGAAGATATGCCAAGACTGGACTTCATTGTAAGGAATAGTGTGGGTTTTGCTCTTATGGAATGGATAAAATAAAGGTTTTAGTCAGTCATTGCAAGCCTCATTCCTTGGAACACATGCTGTAAAGGCTCTTTTTTTTCTGTATAGGTCAGCTATGCCAAGCTCTCAGAAAGCTGGCTCCCCTCCTCCTTCTCTGGACATATTCACCTATAACCATCTTTTTCATCTATGAAAGGCTTTTTTGGAGGCACTTTCTAGGAATAGGGATTAGCAGAACAGTATTTGCCTTTGGACTTCCATGTCTTTACAGCCCATAAACAAGGTGAGTTGGAGTTATCCTGTGATGAAGCAACATGCCTACCAACACATATGGCTGGAATCAGCTGAAAAGCCTGCTTCTGGCTAGTTTTGTTTATAGGCCTTACTATTTATTGGATATGTATTTTTCTTTTTGGAGAGCCCATTCAGAAACAGCCTTCTGCAGAGTTGTTGAAACTACACTTTTTAATTTTTTTGCATGGGTTTGTTTTATCAAGCCTGTTACTGTTGTATTTTGGAGCAGAATATACAGGCTTTTACTCTCCCAGCTTATTTAGCGCCCTCTTAGCTGGTGTTAGACAGGGCTGGAGTGCACAGAACAGCCTTGAAACCCCAGTCAGTGGAAAAGGAGTAACCACTGAAGTATCCATGAAGGTTTTCACTGCCTCCTGGTAGAAGTCAACAGCTGTAACAACATGACATAAATTTGAAATAATTTTCTGTAAGAGGTGGGAAAGTTGTATTTGTCTTATCTAGACATTAAAAGAGGGGCAGGATGTAATGGGGAAGATTATGTTCCAAAATGGAAAAGTGTGCTCAGTCTGCTACTAGTTAAAAAAGTTTTTTGAACTAAGGTGCAGAAAGTAAAAGGGTAGGTTGGGCCATGAGGACTTCTTAGCATTTGATGACCATGACTGTTGTACAATTATGCTTTTAAGCCCTACTGCTAGACTGAATGACTCTCAACTACAGTTTATTTAAAATATTTTGTGTTTTCTCTTTCTGTGCCTGAATTTAGCTGCCTTTGGCATGATTATATTGAAGGTGGGATCTTTTGATGGGTGGTTGTGGGTTTGTTTTTTTTTTTTGTTGGCATGTTCAGACCTGTTGGTTTGTCATTGATTTTCTGGCCATGTTACTGTTGACTACTGGAGCAAAATGATCAGCAAGGAATCAAAGGATGCTCTTTCCAGCTGAGTGTAAGGGCTGAAAAACAACAGGATGAGTTTAATTGAGTGGCTTGTTAGATTCATATCACTAGACTTTTGTGTGTCATTCTGACTTTGAGGAGCTGCAGGCTTCTGCCAGGAATATATGCCTCTGTAGTGCTGTCATCAAGTGAAAATTGCAGTTTTCAGCACTCAAGATTTTTGTGTAGAATGGATACATGCTGCCACCTACAGAGAAATTCTCCAGTTCCCTTAGAAAGTCTTCACTCCAGAGTTGAGACTTGTACCAGTATTTCCTGTACCTAATAGAAAGAGGTAGCAGCCTACTTTTAAGTACCTTGCCAATTGAATTCCAGATGTCGTATGTGAGTACAAATTCCAAAGAGCTGTTGCCTATTAGTGTTTTGCCAATTCTCACCTTTCATGCACCTGTCTTAGAATCATATGCCCTTCTGATCCCTGGGTCAAATTACTCCT